TTCATGAATTTCAGAAAAAGTAGGTCATACGCGCTGTGCGGCGTACGGCACGCGTGCCTAGACCGGCACGCGCACTCGGGCGAATGTTTATAAACAAAACTCGACAAGTTCGAGCAAGTTTTACGATCTGAAATCTAATATACTATCAGATCTCACAAATGAACACCTACGAAACTTCTAGAAGCTTCGTTTTCAAACGCAACAAAGAATTTTCTGGAAAACGATTCGCCGCGGCACTGTTGTCGGCGTTGCATCCGCTGCATGCATATTTAAGCGCAGCTAGCCATGTGGCAACGCTCATTGTAATCTTACTTCTCGCTTAATTAAGTATAACTGCCGCTCAGTGTTTCAGTATACTGTGAAGACAACACATGGCCATATATTCAGTATTCAAGTTAATAATACACGCGTGCATTAATAAAGGAAAATCGGCAGATTTAGTGCTGATTAAAGTGAAGCCAATTGGAATAGTAAACAAAGGGGACATCAATTACGCAGCAGCAATACACCCTGTCTGCAGCTCACAAGGTAAACTTTTTATATGAATAAATAAACTAGTCACACCTCGCACAAGAATAAATCGGGCACACTACGCTCTCTCGAACTAACACTTCGACATCGTACAGGCCCTCAACAGCTGACACATGTGTCGCTATGCTTTAAGCACGTTGTCAAGGAAGGACAACAACAGATCGACTAATCGACTATAAATACAGATTATTAAATCCTTCAAGAGCTCGAAATCTTACAATTAACCACTCTTACCTGTGACTAGATTCTTCTACTGTCCCCATAAATAATTAAAGACACAATTGATTACTTAATAAATTCCATTTAACATCTCACACCATATCAAGTATATATAATATAAGTAATATAATAAGTATAATTCATATGTCAGGCATACTTGATTCAAATACCATCTTCTCAGCTACTTCATGAGCATGATTGACTGACTACATCAGCTGATATTTACAACATGGGCATAACCTCAATTACAAGACACAGTGACATCAATAGAGTCTACAACAATCAAGACTACAAGAAACACCCTCATTACTTCAATAGAATACTCCCTATCTATACCACGTTGCAATATTATTATAAGTATTTTCAAATAATAAACATTGTTTTTACTAAATACATGATATTTTTCAGCCTTGTCAATTATTATTTCCTTTAAAGTTATCCTGCCGAGAGACAAATTCACTGAACTATTAAATTGGTAGTTCGAGCCATAAACTAAACCTTTAAAATCGAACAATATGTATACATATGTATACATATATAATAAAGAATTTTTTTTCTTTATAAAAATTATTTAACAATATAAAAAATCAATAATAATTTAATTAAGTTTATTCATTCTTTAACAAAAATAACAAAAATAAAATTGTGACTGATAAGTAGCATACAAAATTGAAACGATTTTCAACACTATCAATTTTTAAAAATATACCAAAATCTTAATTATTATAATCATGACCAAATTAATTCTTTTTCAAAAATTATCCTTACGTTAAAGCTAATCAATATCTTCGTTCAAAATTACGACAAGTGAGAAAAATTTTTATAAAAGAATGTCATAAAATCTTTAACTGACTTCTGAATATTGATTTCTCAAAATATCTTAATTCCAAGATTTAGAGGAATAAAAAAGTAGTAACAATATATCTTCATCGTCTAATCTTGGTTCTTGAACGAAAATATAATTTCAATATATAAATGTACTTTTAATCAAGAGAGCTAACGGAAGTAATTTCATATCTGATTTTAATAATATTGTTAATTTACTAAATAAATTACTGTTTACTTTACTTTAATCATAAAACAAACTTAAATACAAAAGGTGTTCAGGATTGAACCACCCAACAAAAAATATAAATCATTGTTTGTTAAAATACGATTCCGATACATTACATTTAGAATAAGGCGCAATATTTGAATTATGCGTTAAGAAAAATTCACTGGAAATTTAGCCGCGCACTTTGTCCGAATAGCAACAAAAGAAGCTTCTCGAATTTATCAAAGCTTGCTTCCAGAGAATTAACTAGAGCCTCCAAGAATTTATAACACCTAATGTACGTACACGTATTTAAGAGGCAACGAATGGAGAAGAAAAGCAGTCTTGTTGAATAATTGAAGTGAAACTAGTGCCAGTCATATCAGTGAACGTTGAACTCGTCTAAGGGAATCCGTGCAACGTATATTCATTGTTTATATTGATCATTCTATTATTATTATTATTGCTGGTCAGCTATCGGTGCGTCCTCCGCAACGTGACGCTAGTCAGACCGCATTGAGGATGACGACATAGACTGGCATCTCCAGCACCTTATCTACACTGCTCGTACCATTCGCGGCCCACGTCTACACTATCAGTGAAGCCTGTGCGACTTGATTCTTATCAGTCCGCTAAAGAGGGTGCCGATACTGATTAGTAGACCCCCGCTTATTTTTCATTACAATTCGCGGTCCGCACCTACACTATCGATTAGATCCTTGTAACTTGATTCTTATCAGACCGCTAAAGAGCGCCCCGATACTGACTGGTTGTCCCCGCCAACTCATTACTGTGACACTGCGATTATATTATCGGTCACGCCGCAACGAGTTGGTTCTAATCAAACCACAAAAAAGAACGTCGACAATCCGTATTGCTCAGTTGCAATTGCTCAGTAAAATCTATCGCCGATTCAAACCCTTTAGCAGTCGCGAGCCGGACAACGCTCAGTACAATTCTAGCGCCGACTCAAGCGACTAGGCATTCACGAGCTCAACAACGCGCCGCTAATTTCTCACCGAACGTCAAGTATTTTCGGGCCGAATAACGCTCCGTAAAATTGATTGCCATCAAGGAAGTTGCAAGCCCAACAGGGCTCTCCGAAAAGCCATGGTCGAATCTAATATTTAATGATTCTCGAACTGAAGAGACTCCTTTAATTTAGGGATTAAAGCACGTGCCCAGTACTCTCAAGTTACCTTCTTAGACTTGCACTCCCAGACGACGTTCCAACTTAATGGATAACTGCCTAGTTACTGCAAACTCAACAATTCTCACTACAATCAGTAACACCAACATCACTGTAACAACTACTTAAATAAAGGTCACTAAAACCAATTTTGTTCATTCTGAATTAATGCATTAACAACAACCCCCCCCCCCATCTCCATTAAACCGGTGGTACGGTCTAATCCATCCACTGTGATCTGTGATCATATTGGTGGCTGGAATTCCAAACAAAAGGTATTAATATATTTCTACATATATATTGTATATATTTTAGGTATATAATTGTTATATATTTGCATAAAATATTTAAATGAAATAAAGAAGCTTGTTTTACCGAAAATATCATTAAATTAGAAATATATCTTATTCCTTTTGATATTTTAAAAATGCATAAATAATTATTACAAATAAATACTTTTTTAATATTTTCACACTCGGATCAAATAAAATATTAAAGTTCTACTTTTTTCACTCTCAAATATCTATATTATTATACTAATCAAATTTACATCACACTTAGTAATTGAATTCAAATAACAATAGATTACATCTCAAATGAACTATAATTTCTTTATAATTTAATTTCTTTAATAGACGTTTATAATGCAATATTAAAAGCATTCAAAAAAGTCAGATACACAAGAAAAAGCAAATATGCAAAAACATAACAGAAATTTCCAGTGATCAAACTCTAACTGAAGATTTCAATGTTACATCAAGAGTTTTTTAAACATTTTTTCAAATTTAGACAAGTAGAGATCATTATTACTAATATTTAAATTGTATAAAATTAATATTAAAAATCATATTATAAATAATGTTAAAGAATGATTTATATATAATTAAATAAATTTAGTTGAATGTTTTTTAACATTATCATCCGTGAGATAATATTGTAATAATGTGAAATCTTGTAATTAAAGAAATAAATAAAGTAAATAATATGTAATAAAATAAATATAATATGTTCAATCCACTATAAACAAAAGTGTATAATTATGATTGTACGAATATAACTAGTCGAAAGCTTTCCAAGTAACTTTTTTTCAAAAAACAATTCTAAAATTCCTAAAGTTTTAAATTTCCAAGTAACAATTCCAAGATCTAATAATTAAATATTATAATATTAAATCTTAGCATAAAATGACACTAAAACGATAATTAAAAACTTAAAATTTTATTCATAAAATATATTTTATTAGAATTTACTTTTTTAATTTTTAGAAAATGATATGTGCGTAATGAATATTTACATTTAAAAAAAACATTAATTAATAACAGTAAAATTTCTTGTTATATACGTTTTTTCAAAAGTGACAATCCATGTATATCCATAAATCGTGAATCAACTAACAGAAATTAAAAATGATAAAAAAATATAAACCATATTTTATCTGATGAAATAAATTCTTTTATAATGCTATACTCCACATTTTTGGGCTTATTATATATAGTTTAATTAAAAAGAAATAGAATATATTTCCTGTAATAAGTAGAAAATATTAATTTACTGCATAAATTTAATATTTTTTCATAAGTAACATAATAAGATATCAGCAATATACAAATAATATTATTTATATTTTGTGTATATATGTGTGTAAATTTTTAGCGTATAATAATACTAATATGTTAACTTGTATACTTTAAATACAATAAATGCTTCGGACTTTGGAAATTTAAAAAATTATTTTTAAAATTTTTATGATGATTTCTTATATTATTTTACTTTTATTTTCCTGTAACTCAGTAATATTAGATATCTAACTGAAATTTCTCTCAGAAAATTCACAAATTATTATAATGAAATTATTATATTATATTAAAAAATATAATAATAAATATAGAATGGTTTTCTTTTTATAAAACAATCGTACATAAAGAAAAATATTAATTAAAAATATCGATCTTTTATTCTCAAAGGATTTAAGATCTACCTTTAACTTTATTGTTCTTTTTTGACTTGTTGTTTTATGCTTTCAGACGAGGATATTGTCGATGTTCCGAGTATAGGGACATCAGATTTTATTTCTAATATTCCAACTAAGGTAACTGAAAAGTCTGCACTTAAATCTGTAAACTGCAATAAAGAATTTCCTAATACTAAGTCGAATGAAACTAAGAAAATGACCACTGTAAATTTTGAAAAATCCAAGCCTGAACCAAAATACACAAAGATTTTATCGAAGGATTCGATAAGAACAAATAACTTCACAAAATTATCAGATGAGTTGATAACCAATAATTCGGCAGTGGAGCTACCACGTCTACTATTATTAAGTGAGCCGGTATCCACAACAAGCACAACTTCGTTAACTACAATGGAACAAGTAAATAAGCTGCGTATTAATGTCGCATCACTTCTATCTAGTATTATTAAGAATCAGACAAAAGAAGAAAAAGGTCAGAATAAAGATAAAAAGAATCTGAGTGGTCCAACGATAATCACGACGTTGGAAACTGTATCTTCACGAGCCAGAGCCTTGAATGTATCTGCAGCCGAGTCAACAAATGCCCTTCATTGTAACCTCACGGATCTTAGTGACATCAGCATGAACGATGAAGAGAAAGAAGTCGAAGGTATGATTCTAATAAAAATACGGTCTTTCTTTTTGTAGATTACTTAAATACTTCAAATTGTGTATGTACAAAACAATATATTTTTATTACTTTTTTCATATAAACTTAAAATAATGCATAAACTAATTTTTAATGTAACTAAACGTAAAACGATAATTATATAATTATTATATTCACTATAAAAAATTTAATATTAAATACATTATTTAACTCACAAAATATTTTTTAATTTAATTTTTAATTATACCTTGTATAAAAAGAAACTTAGATAATTTTGGAATTTTGTCATAAACATACAAATTTTGCAACAAAAATTTTATACAAATAATTCAAACTACTATTACTTCTTTCTCAAAAATAGTAATGGTAAAATTTGGGAATTTGATCGGAAAATTAATTTAATTAATCATACTTTATTTAGTATAAAGATGTGAACTGTATATTTAATTTTTTTTTTTTATTTATTATATTTATTAATATTATAGTATATTTTTTGATAAATGCATGAAATGTAAGATTTTGTATACAACATAGATCTGGAACGTGCAAATGAAATGCTTTTATATATATATATATATATATATATATATATATATTTTTTTTTTTTTTTTTTAACTAACGTTTAAAAGTAATATTATATATAACAATTATATATTTTTTACATTATTTATTGTAAAATGATAGATTTGTATTATAAATTCATTCTACGTATTGTTTACAAACAATATATTTTTAATTTTTGCTAAATTTATTAACATAGAAAATATATAATGTATAATATATATAATACATAATAGATATAAAATCTTTAAAATTTCTTCTATTTCTATTTTGCAGATGAAGAAGACATAGTAGCACACAAAAATACATCAATCAATATGACATTAGTCCATCCACTGTTGGTATCTGCAATTATGTGTAAAGATGGTAATAAAACCTACTCTGTAGGAGAAAAGATTATCAGAAAGTGTGAAGAACAATGTTTATGTGAAAAAGGAGGAAATATTACCAATTGTGAGCCTATATGTCAATCACCATATGTTAAATCTAATAAAAAAAATAATGACCCTTTTTGTGACGCTCGAGATTTAGCAGAAAATCCATGTTGCGCTATCTTAGTTTGCTCTGATTCAGGTATCTTAAACACATAATTGAAAGTTTATTTGTGTACATACTTGCCTTTAATTTATAAATATTTTCATTTCATAAATAATAAAATTTCATTACTACTACATCTTTAATATATTATCATTGAATCATGCTTGAAATTGTAAAGAAATAATTAAACTACTTTTAGTGCCTGAACCTGAAGAAACTTGTATTTTTGGAAATAGTACAATAACACGAGGGCAACGATATGAAGATGGATGTTTAAGAACTTGTATTTGTGAAGCAGGAGGACATCTTAATTGTCAGTCAAGATGTCCTCCAAATGATACGTCAGATATAAATCAGCATGATCGATGTGTTGTTTTACAAGATCCCAGGTAATTATATATTTAGTTATTAATAAATGTAATTAAATCATTTCTATAAAAATAATTTATATATAGCGATGCCTGTTGTACAATTACATTGTGCGATGTTACATTGGGTGACCATGAAATAAAACCTGAAAGCCCAGCAGATTTATTTGTGAAGTTAATTGATGTTAAGATTCTCAATTCAACAGCCATTAAATTAAAGTTGTCTTCGAAATTGCCTAATGAAATAACTATTGAACTTTCAGAAAACAATCATGTTTGGAAACAAGTTACGCCTACTAAAGGTACTGTTAACAAAATTTTATCGTCAATAAATATTATTTGAAAATATAGGGATTATAAAATCTGTTTTCAAATCAATAAATGATATTATTATTAATTTTTCTAGACGGAATAATTTCGAACCTGCAACCAGCACATGGGTATTATATCCGTGTTGTTGAAGGCTCACGAATAGGACCGGCTATTCATGTATCACTTCTTACCGAAGTCATTAAAACGAGTGTCACAAAGCAAAATGAGAAAGACGTTTGTAATCATCGAGGCAAAACCTATAAAATTGGTGCAGAATGGTACGACGAATGTATAGCTGTTTGTTTTTGTAATGAAACTGCTCAGATTGAGTGTGCTACAATTGAGTGTCCCACAGATTTTGGGCTAGATGTACTAGATCCTCATTGCCTTGATTGGGAAACAGTGCCACCTAATCATGTAGCAAAAGCTCCGAACTGTTGTCCTCAAGTACATTAATTTTATATATTATAATAAATTGTATGAAATAAAAATAATTCAGAATACTAGTTTATATTAATAGATAGTAAGAGATAAAAGAATTTAAAATAAATATTTTATTTTATATTTTTTAATTTAACTATAATACTAATTATTTTAATAAATGAAATCGTTGAAAGCCTTAAATAATAATAAATATATCAATAACCATTATTTTGATAGGAAGTGCGATGTAAAAATAATGGGTCATGTGCATATGGAGGAAAAACTTATGATAATTGGTCTAAAATTCCAATGAATATCAGTGGTTGTGAAAAAGAATGTTTCTGCGGATTCGGAAATGTTACGTGTAATCAAATTTGTCCACCAGTTTTGCAACAGCCACCTCATACTCTTAATTGTAAACCACACGAAGCAGTTCTTACGAAGTTACCTAATGATGAATGTTGCTTGCATTGGTCTTGTTTACAAAATGGATCAATTTTGCCAGGTATTTATAATTCTATCACATATAGTATGATAATTTTTAGATAACTTTATAAATGAATTATTGTAGAATTTGAAAATATATTGTAATAATATAACAATATATCATTTTAAAACTATCTATACTCATTGACAAAAAATTTTTTGTTAATCACTTGGTGGTGGAAAAAAAATATTTAAAATTAGATTAAAAATTATAATTAGAAAGTATAAAAAAGGATAATGCTAATAATAATAATATTAGAAAGAAATATAAATATTCATTTAACTAATAATATAATAGATAAAGCATCAAAAAATATCATTTTACTTATTTGTACTACTAACAAAATAAAAATTATTTGAATCTTAGAGAATTATATTTATATTAAATAATAATTAGTATATAATTCAGAATATTGCTTTATTTTAGTAGTATCAAGAGTATGAAATTGAAAAAATCTTCACATTTTCGAATAAATAAAAATGACTAGGCTTGTAATAAATGATTAAAATATTTTAAAAATAAAAAATGAATAAGAGTATCCTACTGAAATAACTGTTAATAGTAAATTATAATACTAAATTATATTCATATATTGTCTTCAATCTTTATCTTAGGATAAGAAAAATCTTACGGTATATGAGAAGTTGTTGAACTAAATCTTCATGTAAATTGTCGATATAATTTGTATAGTCATTAGGAGTACTCGGTTAGTTTCTGAAATTGTTTAATAATTATTAGAACTAATGAAGTATATAGTAACATAAAACTATTAAAGTTACAAATAAACTTAAAACATCTTATTTCTTAGACACTAATAGGACTTTTAAAATCCTACTTAAAATTAATATAATGAGATACAAAAAGAAAAAATTTTTATTATTCAACCCTGTGGTGTATAGAATCGAATATATTTTTATAATATTAAAATTTAAAGGTCTAAATATTTTGTAGTAAAAATATTACTGATTCATATATACATATTATTGTTTTTTAATAAATATTTTGAAATGTTATAACAATAATTCTCTTGTTAAATATGTAAATACTACTGATGCATGCTATTCAATAAATATATTAAATAGTTCAAAAGTCAACGCTGTAAAACTTTATAATTATTGAAAATTATATTGACTTGACAAAAATAAATTTTAAGATAAAAAAATATTCGATTGAAATTTTCTTAAAGCAACTGTAAAATGTTTGTAAATATTTGGAATATTTTTAAAATTGTAAAATATATTCAATATTAATTGTAATATTTTTTTAACCAATTAAATGCAATAGTTTTTCATGAATATTTTCACTATAAAGTATAATATTTATTTAATTTATCTTCTATATTTTATTTTATATCTTTAAATTTTTAATTAATACATTAATATTCAATAGAATTTTAACAATTAAATATTTACAAATATTAAAAATAATTTTGAATTTTTTAAATTATTTTTTATTTTTTAATAATCTAATTTTTAAAAGAAATTACATCTAAAAATAAAAATAGTTTTAAAATATTTATGAACTTCTAAAATTAAAAATATATTATTACTAAATTGTAAATTATAATTCTATAAATTCAAATTCGTATTTTAAATTAATTTAATATAGAATATTTCTATACTTAAATCACAATTACATGCTGATTTTGACATTAATTTATATAAATTTAAGGATAAATTACATTGCATTAATAGTATAATATAATATTCATATAATAATCTTTGTAAATGTCTCATATAACAATCTTTGTCTATCTTTGTCTCATATAACAATCTTTTTCAACAATCATTTAACAAATAAAATTAATGTTCATTTATATCAAAGAAAATATTGCCTACTTTTTTCAAAAATCTTACATAAGACAAACAAATTAAACTGTATTTATTAAATATTGTGCATTATCTTGAAATTTTGAAAAACTATATAAGAAAATATCTTAAAAAAACAAAGATTAAAAACAGTCAAAATTTCATTTAATTTCAAATTTTTAAATAAAATCGAAAACTCTAAACAATTCCGAATTATATAAGCGGACAATTGAAAAATAAACCATTATAAGTTCATAACTAGACACTGTAAATTTATTTAAAGTTTCACATAGAAATATATTAATCTACGTAACTTTATGTTCTTAGTAATGTAGGTTTGATTATTTTGGGCTTTTCATACATAAAGTTACATAAGTTATAGTTGATATTTTTAGTTATATATTATAGTTATATAAAAAATTAATATTATACAGTTTTTTAATATTTATTTTTATAATTAAAATTAACTTAACGTTTAAAATTTACTTAATTAATATAGACTTCATCTACTTTTGCATAAGTCGTGTTATCCCTGTAATCGTTTCAATGTAGAATTAAACTTGACTTTATATATTATTTTTAGAAATTAATTTTATATAATAAATTTATATTTTTCTGTTCAATAATCAAATATTTACATTTAAAATTATGAAAAACTTAAATTATTGATAAAAACATATTAAAATATTAATTAATAAAAACATAAATGGTTTTTAGTTTTATTTTTATTTTGTGTAAATATTAAAGTAAAAATAATATAACATTAAATATAAATACGCAAATTTTCATATAATAAAATTTTAAACTTAATTTAGTTTTTAAAACTAAAATCCAATTAAACAATATAAAAGAAATAAAATCAAAAAGACATTATTGTAGATAATAAGTTGTCTTTTGCATGAAAATATATCTAACATTCAAAATGTAAATCTTGCTATTATATTTTATCTACTTAATTAGTATGAATTTAATTATAATAAAAATAGTTGTATTTTATTAAATTATTTTTAGCATTAAATTGTTTATTTTTAATATAAAATAAGTAATTGTACAGAAATAAAAAAAATTAAATGATACTTATATTTTTTAGATAATTAATGACATTGATATATCACTTATTCAAAAAATTTTTAAATTCATCAAAAAATTGATATAAATAGGTTTTGAACTGATGTTTAAAAAATTCCACATATCAGACTCATTTATATGAACCAAAAAGACATAACTCTTATTACAGGGAAGAATTCGTCGGCCTTTATTTACCCAGGTCCTATAGCAATAGATGCTACTGAAAAACGACCGAATGATAAATCAGAAAGTAAAATACTAATCGAGAAGCAACTTCATAGTTCGTCGTTTTTAAAGCCTACACAATTTGGTGACACTAACCCACCTCTGTATAATGTATCCCCTAATTCTGACATTGTGCATTATCCTATGGACCCAGGCCACCCCGCCATACCGTACATGGGTCCTTATAATCCTGACTTTAAACCTACTCAACCAAGTGTAGGAGAACTCTTTCATTTAACTGAAAATTTTGAAAAAACACCTATTAAAGAAAAAATTAAATCTAAATCTGATTCAAAGAAACCCGTGAATACAATTAAAATTCTTAAAGAAAATATTGATCAATTTCCAGGTCCTCTACCTGCTAATCATTTTTTTGAAAACATTTATTCATCTAATAAGTCAACCTTATCTTCTCCGCCCATATCTATGTCTCAAAGTCCCAATAAACTACCAGAATTAAATAAAGGCAATCCTCTTTCTGATCATATAGAGCAACCGCATTTCATACCGTTAAATGTACATGATCATACATCTGTATCTACTTTTGATTTTACACCAAGCAATGGTGAAAATATCCCATCAGTACATTTTGGTGTTCAATTAGAAAACTCAGCTGCCGGTCCACCGTACGGTGATTTAATCGGATTACGCCCCGAACTTCTTGATCCGAATAACGTCGTTTCTTCAGTGTCTAAAAAAAAAATATCCAACCCTAACACATATACAAATGAAAAAAGCGAACATTCGGTAGTTCAAGTTTCAAAACATCCTGATACTCCTCCACAAAATCCTAACCCACCAACCATACACGATGAGCTATATCACTTAATAAATCTTCAACATTCTGATGTGGTCCAATCAGATTATGGTTCTACTAACAGTCATTCAGATCTTTATGGTATTCACAAAAAAATAATGGGTACTGATAAGCTATCAGTATCTCAAGCACGACCAATTTACTTTGGTTTAAATGCTATACCTCCCAAGAAAAGCGAAGCTCATGGAAAACCACAAATCTTTACTCAGAAGGATGAAAACGGACAGATGACTTACCATGTACATGCGGCTGACGTGCCAAACTCGCCTCAACAGCTAGAAGAGCTACTAGCTCACATAGCTAAGCATGACCCCAGTAATAATCCCTATCAACAACATTATCCCGTACATCAAGAGAGTATGCACTTGCAGGGGCCACCACCATCTCTGACAGCTCACAACATCGACTCTTTACAAATTCAGCAAGGCGCGACTGACTTAACACCGCATATCGACTCACACGACTACGTTGCGCGAGCACCGCCCGGCTCTGGCCAGCCAGGTTCGTTTATTGAAAGTTTCTCAATTCATCATTCGATATTACAGTCAACTAAGTTAGATTTTCTTGGTGATATTGTTATAACACTTGATGATGAACAAATAAATCTATATTAATAGTAAATTAGGTCGTTTTATATAAATAAAATCTAATAATAATAAATTATTAAAAGAAATCGTGAATATGAAAAAGCATTCGATCATTCTGACTTTTTAGGCTTTTATACTACATTAGGTGGCCTCTGATTAACACTTTTACATTAAGACGTTAATTGATTAAGATCAAATGTTTGTTGAAATAGTAATTTATCAATATATTATAAATAAAATTATATTTTATAAAGTATAACAAAGATTTTTTCAAATACAAGTACAAATATAACTATAACCTGCTTTAAAATATTGCAAATACATAATAATGAATGACATTATTTATAAGTGTATATGTATAAAATATAAGATCTTAGTTATCGAATTACGTGATTATAAATTTCCTTTAATTTTAATTTTAATTATCATTATTTCAGTAAATAAATTTGTATAACATAGTATGGTACTTAATTACAAATATATTAATTATAAATAAATTATTTAAACTGAATAACTGACTGAAAAAAGTGATTTATTCAATAGATGTAAATTAAAAATAAACAATTCTGAATAATATTGATTCAACTGGAGTAAATATATTTCTTGATAAACCAAATATACTATTTTTAATACAGATTTTACAAATATTTCATATTTAAAGAATTTATACTTAATAAAATATTTTTTAATTTTTGAGGTCTTAAGAATAACAATATTCTATAAAAAAGTTTATTGATTTAATAATATTTATTATCAATATATAAATAAATAAATTTAAATATAAATTCATATTTATGAAACATTGTTAAATAATGATTAATTTTTATTCTACATTCATTTTATTCAATAATTATATTCAATAATTATTCACTATTTATATATTATAGGATTTGGACAGGGAATATCACAATTCTCTGGAATTTTAAGCCACGGTAGTTCAAATTTACCAAGTCAACAAACATATGAGATATCCATTGAAGATTTACGTGCAATCAGCGGAAATAGTGTCCGTTTGATATTTACTGTGCCATCGATTTTAATTGGACTTCATGGCCGGGTTGAAGTTCATTACACTAGTGATAAATCGTGAGTTTAGCATTTAATAATAAATAATTTATTCTAAAAATAGATAAGAATCAAAAGTTTAAATTGCATTTTTTATTTTTGTATAATATTCTTTAAAATTCACATTATTATAAGGTTTATTTTTTTACATTTATATATTATGTACACATTATTTAATATACTGTCTAAAAAAGATATTTAACAAATTTTATAATTCGTATATATATCTTAATTTAATATGTGAAATTATCAGAAAATATTATGTATGCTAACCGATTATTATCTAGTATTTATTAATATGAGACAAGATAATTAGAAGAAATTATTAATAATTTATTTGTATCCTGTAGTGTTTAATTAATGCTTTTATCAAAACAAAATTTAAGGAATGTACACAAAATTCTGTCACGTATATATAGTAATTATATTTATTAACATAAATATCAATAATCTAACGTTACATTTATTGATTTAATATTTGATAATAATAATCTATTACATTATTAATATTTAAAATTGTAAAACATTTTATGTAGAAATATGGATCCATCGACTTGGAAATCACAAATTTTTGCACCTCCTGGAGATCTCATTGATACCGAAGACTTGGAGTTTGACTTAAGTGGATTAAAACCATCAACGGTGTACCGATTAATGATTGCAGTAAAATTACGTGATTTATCAAATATTCATATTAGCAAAATCTATGAAGTTCGCACTCTTGATAAACAGACGCTAAGTTCATTACCAGCAGATATTAACATCGATTCTGAGCTTGCAGTATTACAGGTGAATTCTACTTTTGCAGAATTTGAATGGAAGAAATTCTCAAATTACGAATTACAATTTATCGATGGAATTTATCTAATGTACAAGGCATACAATGAAAAAACTTATTCAATAACTCCATTACTACATAGAAGTGTTAATCATTATATACTTAATCATTTAAGACCTTTAACAGCGTATGAAGTTCATCTTAGTACTAAGGACATAATTGGACAAACTAATGTATTTATTAATAGTAAAACGGTAAACACATATTTTAATAGTTATATTGTGTACAAAAAGTACGATAAGGCATAAGTATAATTTATTATACTTCTTATAATAAAAATTAATATACATCTTAAAAAAATTATAATATATTTAATAATTAGTACATAACTTAGTCTAATAAATCTTTTTAATTGTAATTTATTTTTAATTTATTTATAATGCAAATAATGTGCATTACACAAAAAATCGTTTCAAAAATTATTTAACATATTGTATTTTGTTTATCTTGACATAATTTATATGAAATACAATAAACATAAAACATTAAAAATTTTATAGTTTCTTATTTTGTTATTAGGTGAATTTCACAACTACACACGAAAACGATCCCTATTTGTTTGACGTGAAAGTTGAAATTAAAGCAATTAAACCAACACACGTTGAAATTTCTTGGAACGGTATACCTATACCGCAAGACAAATATGTCAACATCTACAGAGCAGTGTACCAAAGCGATAGTGGAAAAGAAGACACCAGCACGTTCAAGATCGCAAAAAAAGATGCACCAGCAAAGACAATTATAAGCGATTTAAAACCAGGAACTCGATATCGTCTTTGGATAGAGGTTTACTTAACTAATGGGAAAATAAAAAAAAGTAATGTTCAGGACTTTGTTACTAAGCCTGGAATTCTATTACCATCCGATGTTTCGCAACAAGGTTGAATAGAATAAAATTTCTCATAACTTTCAATTAATTGTAAAATTTATTAAAAATTAAAAAATTATATCTATTCATAATCTAGTACTATTTTATCACTTTTTATATATTTTTTAATTACTTTATAGGAAAATTTGCATCGATATCTCTACACGAAGGTGATTACTATGGACCTTTAGTTATAGTTGCTATAGTAGCATCATTAGCCATATTATCAACTCTGATACTTCTAATGATGTTAATGAAAAAAAGAACTAGCAGCAAAGCTGATATATCGCCTCGAAAAACTACATCAGATTACGACAATCCTTCCTACAAAGTAGAATTACAACAAGAAACAATGGGTAATTTAGTGCTTTTGATTTTTTCAAATAGTTCATTTTCAATTTTATTTATGAAACTTTTTTCTGCTTTAATATAATTATTTATGCAGATTACAATCTAATTGAACGTTAAATTTATTGTTACAGACCTGTGAAAAAACAATTTTTAATGAGCGAAATAAAACGTTAGACTATAAAATATATACTATGAGTAAAAATGTAAAAAATGCAAAGCAATCCATTAAAAATAGATGATATAAATTTAATATTTATGGTTATAATGCTAATGGTAAATAAAGAAATACCCATAACTGTTATTAGATCATTATAAAATTCTCCATATTTAGTAAAATACAATGGAGAAAATCTATTCTAGCTTTATTTAAATAAGTTGTTAGGTCAAATATAAATTGTTTAATAAAAAATTAATTATACAAAGCTTTAACTTACTGCGAATAACAAAGTTAATAGTATAATAAAATATTTAATACTCAGATTATATGTAAACATTTTTCATATGTATGTTATACATTTTATTTGTTGGAATTAGTGCAAAAGAGTAGCTAAAACATTGTAAGTTATTGTACATAGAATTTTATATAAAGAATTTATATATATAAACTATAATACAAAGATTTATATTATTTGAGAAGCATATACATCATAAATACATTCATGTGTTATATGTACTTATTTTTACTAAAAAATAAATTTAATAAAACTTATTATAATCTTGTTATCAATGATAAAAATTCAATATGAAGACTATAAATCTGTATAAAAAATTTCAACACTAAATATATTTACTTAATATTAATCTTGATTTATTTAAACGAAACGCATACAATTACTATTAAAATAAAAGACATTTGCTTTTCTAATTCGAATTATAATTAAGAGTGTAAATTGCATAATGTCATAGTGTACAGGGAATAAATGTATTGTTAATTTAAAACGATACTATTAATGAATAAATTATTTATTTATTAAAACATATTTTTATAGTTTTCATTCCTTAATGTTTCGAAAATTATTACTCTGTAGATCCAGTTTTTTAATAAATAAAAAGGAAAATCATGAAACTTTGAATCTTTCTTTTATTTTATAAGGATAAATTATAAAATATTACATTAAAAATTCTTCTATAAAAATGTATAATAAATGTTAAATTGATTAAAACAGTCTTAAAAAGTTTTGTTTACATTAGTGTTGAAAATAAAAATTGTGTTTAAACTATATAACAAACAATGTTATTCCAAGTATTTTTTGATTGTATCTTCCATTGAAAAAGGTTCGGTTGTAGGTGCAAATCTAGATACTACTTTTCCATTTTTATCAATTAAAAATTTTGTAAAGTTCCATTTGATACCATCAATAATAGTTCCACTTCCTTCTTTTTGAAATTTGAGCCATTTGTATAATGGATGAGCATTATCTCCATTTACAAAAATTTTTTCATACATATCAAAAGTAACATTATATTTCTTCACAAAATCTAAAATTTCTCCAGATGTTCCTGGTTCTTGTCCTGCAAACTCATTTGATGGGAAGGCCAAAATTCTCAAACCTTTAGATTCTCCATATTTTTCAAATAAACTTTGAAGCTGCTTGTAATTAATATCTGTCAATCCACATTGACTTGCAACATTAACTATAATAGCAACGTTATCCTTATATTTATCCAATGAAACATCTTTACCATGTATATCATTTGCATGAAATTCATATATAGAATTTGCCTTACTCCATTCTATATCTTGATTAAAATTTATTCCAGCTTTATTTGAACCAGAACATTCTATATCTTTTGTTTTATCACAGTCCTTACCAAATACAGTGACAGCCAAAATAATAGCTGTAGTTATTATAATATCTAGGAATGATAATTAATATTAATTAATAATATTGTTATATCAAAGAAATTTATAAATTATTATGTTTACAATTATTTTTGTTATACATTTTCAATAAATTTAAATATATCTATTAATATAAAAATACAATAAAATTTAATAATACTCTCATTTAGTCATATATTATTGTCTATATTATCATATATTAATAAAATTAAAAAAATTAAATTAAACTAATCTAAAATTTATAACTAACATGAACTTAAAAGCATTTATTTAATAATAAAGATTTATAACTATTTCATTTAATTAACTTCATTAATTAAACTTGATTTCATATGCAACTAAAAAATTGTATTCAAATACTATTACAACACAAGTAAAACACAAATATATTTTGATATTGTTTCATGGCCAATGAAACCCTAACCTCTTATAATTTAAGACTATAATATATATACTCATTACAGACTAGTATATATTTTATGAATAAATAAAAAATATTTAATATAATATGAAAGGCAATTTCATATACTTTTTATGAATTACTTAATTCTCTTTAAATAAAAATATTTTATTTTAATGTAAAGTATTTACATATTTAAAAATAATTAAATAAAAAAATAATATTTAATAATTTTATTTGCAATTTAATAACACCAATTAGATACAATATAGTGAATAAATTATTAAAATTTATCCAGACTATAGTAGGAATAAAACTATTCAAATATAACCTATAAATTAATATTTTACATGGAATAAGGTTTATAAGATAAATGTAATAATGAAAAAATATGTGTAAATCATATACTAAAAACTTTTATTTGTGTTTAAATCAGAAAAATTAAAATGTGAATTTCAGTAATTAACACAATTTTATTATTAATGAGTAGTATTTTCAATTTTACCATAAAATAAGCTGCTTTTCATCTATATATTATAAGAAAACAACTTATAAAGTAGCAAAAATTCAAAAAATAAATATAGATAATTATAAATATAGATAAATATAAATAATTAGAATCAAAAACTTACGCATCATTGTTTTACTTCTCCGTCCACTAATACCTGTTTAGGAATAAAAAGTCAACAATCTACAACCAGTTACCTGAATAGAAATTGTTGACTGACTTGCAAAATTTTTGTTCTTATATATGCTGTAGACGCTCACGACAGTTGGTACCAGCAGCGAAAATATTAAACGTTAAACCGCCGATCAGAAAAATCATGATCAAGATAACATTAAAATGATGCGAGAAAAGTCTAACGAAATAATCATCTAAGAGAAATTAATGCTTTTTGATTGGTCGAACACGCAACACGTGAATATCATATCATAACTCGTTCGTACACAGTAGATATGTATGTCTTTTCATGCTTTGTAATTAAATTATTGACTGTATAACAGACATTAAGACATGCAATTGTTTGGACTTGTTTATATTTGACTGAATAATTTGCAAAAATCATGAGTTGATAACATATGCCTTGTTAATTTTAAAAATCATAAATACTTAATTTCAATCAATTATAACAACGATTCATTATTCAATTAACGATTAAATGAAGGTCAAAATTAATGTTAAATATAAATTGTTATATAAAATGCTTTTTAAATATAATATTGTATTATAATATAATAAAATATTTTATACTAACAATAAAAAAAAATTTTGTTTATTTTTTCATAAATTAAAATTAATATTTTAAATATATTTTTCTTTTAATATAAATAGATTTATTATTATTAAAGAATATCGATGACTGATTTTTAAATAAATCGTTTCAATTTTTTCAATTATTTTAACAAATTATATTTAAATTATTCGATAAAATAATTATTAATTACAATTTTGAAAACATGCTAATATTATTAATTCCATAATACTATTTTATCAAAAAAATTCAGCAACGTCACATTGTTTCGAACTTTTAAAAGTGTATTACATTATTACATAATCAATCAAATTTTTACGTGATTTTTCCTTCTGACCTTCAATGAATGAGCCCATAATGTTTTGCTATACAGAACAGAATGTATCCAGTTTTAAAAATACTCATAAATAATATAAAATTATATTGTAATATTATTTTATGATTCAATCAAATAAATACATAATTAAACGTATTAAATTCTAATGATTATAATAATATCCATAATTCAAACATTGTATACATAATTCTTAAAAAATTTTTAATTGTTTTGTTTCCGATTCTTGTACCTAACAAAAAAAACATAATTATAAGAAGAAAAAAAATTAATATATTCCATATTCTTCCATTTTAATTTAGCATGATCTTTCATGTATGAAGTGTTCGAAATTTAATAACAATTTTATCCTTAAACTTGTATTTATATTCTATTTTATAAAGTATTCCGTTAAAATATTGAAAATCTTGCAGAGAACTCGTATCTCATATTTATTTGTTAACTGATATTTCACCTGATTATAAGTGGGCTGAATATTGTCAGTGTCGACAATGGTTTATTAAAAATTTCAGTGAGATTTTAATTACTCGTGCTTAAAGATATGTCGGTCAATCAGGAAAATGTCGATTTTCCTGCATAAAAATCACATACTTAACGCAATTGTGATGCTTGAAATAGGCAATGAACACTGCTACATTTTCATTTTTTTACGTATACCTTTGAATTGGTAATTTAAAAACGATGAGAACACGTCTTTGATATTTAACCAAGGTACATATATTTGATTGTAAATCGTAAATGCAACGCAGAGTACTGATATGATTATTAAAGTATCTTTCTCTTTGATCATTTATTTTCATTTATATTAATTATATATATTATTCAAATTAAATTAAATGGAATGCGAACGATGTTAATTGTTATATTAAGTTTATTTATATGACATAAAATTGCATTTCAATATACAAAATAAAAATATAAATGTTTTTTTTTTAATTAATTTAATTCTAAAAGATTCGCAATTCATTATGAGCAAGTAGTACATAAAATTTATTTGGCATACATAAGATTAAATATGTAGCTGCTTAATATTCTTATCAGGGTATATATATATTTATGTTTATATTATTTTTTTTAATTCGATATGTTTATATTCATTATTTTTTCATTCTATGATTTATCACAAATAAGTTAGATTTATTTAAATGATTATATTATAATTGCAAAATATATCTTAAGTTTTTTTCAATAAAATATATTTACAGCATATTTTTATGTTTTTTTTATCTAAAGCGTATAATATAAAACATTTTATAGTATGTAAAAGAACTTTTATCGTATTAAACAAATAATATAAAAAAATGCAAGTAAATTTAAAGTCCTAAAATTAAAAAAAAAAAGTTAATGAGACGGAATTCGAGATAATTATAATCTTAACCAGTCAGGACAGACTTCAGAATACCCTTGTTACTTTTATTTAATGTGCGTATCATAAGAATAATATACTATTTACTTCTCACACTCATTTTCACTAAATTATTTACATTATTATATATTTTTGCATAATTATAATCATTCTCAAGCTTTACCCAGTCTATAAATATGTAATAAATGCAGACTCAGCAATTTAAGTCTTTGAAAACAAACTTTTGGTTTATCAACGCACTTTATTATAATAATTTATTTTCTAAAAATGAAAAAACCTCATGCTAATAGTAATTTTAATTTTTTTAATGGTAAAAATTATTATATTATATATTATATATTATATATTGCAATAATATTTGATAATAATATTTAAAAATAATGTCTTAAAAATAATAAAAATTTACTAAAATGACGAAATAAATAAAACTGGATAACGACTTTTTTAAATTGTATAAATTGATTACAATATTATTATTATTATTGGTTTATATAGTTATGCATAAATCTATTTTCAATATTCCATTATTGATAAATATCTGAATTTCCTATTTTCTAAGATTATTCAGATCGTATTTTATAAGAAATTTATATATATGAAAAATATTTTAGTTGATGGAAACTAAAGACAAATACTTAAATTATAAATTTTGTATATAATCTTTCTTTTATCGTTTCTATCAAATAATTACAAATTTATAATAAATACACATCTATGTAACTAATAAATAAAATCTAAATAAGCAATTAAATAGAAATAATTAAAATTAACATTTTATAAGTATATTAAATGTTGTGTTTTACTAAATATATGAAAATAACAATTTTAATTTATTATAAATGATATTACGTATATTATAAAATATATTAAACATAAAAAATTTGAAGAATTTTATCTTTTAATATATCATAACTGTAAAAATATTCCTAACTTGTGCTGACCTGTTGTTAAATAGTGGAATTATTATTTATGTAATATAATATTATTAAATTAAATATTGATAGAAATATAGATAGAATCTATAAAGATAGAAAGTGCATATTTACTTCATGAATGTAATATATAAGTACCATATATCATATAATTCAAAAAAATTTTAAACTAAACTTTACGTAAATATGTTAATTTAAAAGAGAATGCATACAAAGAAGATACATAAAAATACTATATAAATATAAGTATTTTTACACAATATTCTTCAAATAAATTTTCTTGTATTATGGAATTAAATAATGAAAATATTTAATCAATGTCATTAAATAGTAAAATACCTAACAGTATCATATATCACAAATCTATTATTTTTTTAATTTTATTGATTAATATCCATTCATGAACCAATTGTTAATAAGTATTATCTATATAAATTGTGCCATAAAATTTTTAAATGTATTAATCATAATACTTTTTATCTTAAATAAAAATAAAATTAAATAAATTCATTTTAATGTACATTTCTTTCTAATATTATTTTTTTTATTTTAAAAATATTCAAATATTTGAATGTTCTTGTATTATTTAATAAAATTGACATTGATTCTAATTTTAGTATTCCGGGAAATTTACTATAAATACTATGATAGATTCTCATAAATATATGTTTGCTTCATATAACTTCCTAAATTATATAATAGAAATTTTATATTCATAACACTCGTTGGACAGAAATGAATGTTATATTTTCTAGTATGTTTGTTAATTCTAAGCAATCTTTATTACCATAAATTTTTTTATTTTAAATGTTTTAACTCGATTATACATAGAATAAAGTTTATAAATAGCTTAGATAAAAATACATATTAAATTTTGTTATACATTGATATTTTCAAAAAATTGCCTTTTCTTAATCACTATTTCTACATTATTTAGATACAATCGCATTTTTTAATTATTCTCATTTAATTATTACATTTAATGGGCCGTGGTCCCATTTCTTTTACGAATGATGTTTGAATTTTGTACTTTATATAAATCGCGTACAATCTCTGTCAAATAATGTTACTGAAAACTATATAAATAGAGAGCTAAAGAATGAAGCATGTTATAATATTAAAAAAAATAAAATCTGTATACATTGGTATACAGATATTTTGGAAATTATGAATTTATATATATATAATAATAATTGGAAAAATTCAGAATGCCAATAGTACAAATTTTGGTTTTCTGATCGGTTAAATTCAACATAGTGCATGTTGACCAACTTAGCTAAACAGCAGAGCCATCTTTAAAAATATTGAACGTATAATCTGCTTTCACAATCACTGAATAAGCAAAGAGCGTAACGCGCCTGCGTGCTTTATTCAATTAAAACTCCTTGAGAGCTCGATCGTCTTTAAAAAAGTAAAAAGAGGGGATTAACGGAGAAGAGTGCAAAAATATTGAGGGATCCGAGTCACCTCTCCTTGTAGCCTATCAAACGCTACGGAAATTTCGTGTGTTTTTCAGAAAGAAAAAGGCGTGAAACAAATGGCTGGTTTTCGAGCGCGCGACAATGGACCAAACTCTGCCGCCAGCGCGCTCTTCTTCGATCTGGACAACACCCTCATTGAGACCAGAAAAGGGGACAGTTTAGCCTGTCGCAAGGTATAATCCATTAGTTTGCATTCGATCTTCCTACCACTATAATTTCTTAAAATGTATCTCTGCAAGCATTTTTTATCTCTACCCCTGTTCCTTAATCCTTGGCCCAACAATACACATACGTATATTTGCAAGAAATCCGTATCTTACAAATGAGTGCTGTGAGTGAAACATAATAAGAGTCAGCAACTTATCATCGAAAGTGGAAATTAAACATGCACAGCAATATCTGGTGGAATGTGTTACACGATGGACGCCACAAAAGACGTTAAACCCTTCAGTAAGCACACACGCATCATATTTCAGCAGACGACGTCGAACTTGTATATTTACTATCCTTGCATTAAAACGAGCTCATATTTATCCTAGACTAAATTTCTTCATATAAAGAATTCCTATTGCCCAATTATCCGTAATACAAGACTAGTTTTACCACGAAGTAAATGCCAACGTAGATAGAGTAAAGCTCAGATCTATATTTGACGTAAAATGAATATGTATGCATGAGTATGCTGAAATCAATATGTGCATATAAATGCACGTGTAAAAATATGACACGTAGTTCTTAAGCTTGTGAGTTACGCGTCCAACTTCAGATGAATTCTTGATCGAAGTAGAAAAAAGAAACATATTTAAACCTTGCTGCCCGATGTGAGCGAACACGCATTTCTTCATGAATCTGCGACTATTACTGCGCATTTATTCTCGACGCGTGTACAAAAGCAAAAATAGAGTAGAGAAGCCAAGAGCGTAACACGAACCGATACCCAATATAGCATTTTCTTGCGCGATTATTTTAGATCACGTCGAGAACGACGACAACGAAGAAGAGGAGAAAATGAAAAACGATGGACCGTCGAATGAGAAAGCAGGAAAATTAGCTGGAGAGAGAGAGAGAGAGAGAACTGTAGAGAGACAATCTGTCGGACGATTTAGTTCACCTCTGTATTAAATCTTGTCGAAAGTTACACTAGCTGTTTGAGAAAAAATTTTTAAGAAGCGATTGATTCAACTTCAGATACTTGTTATATATTATTTCAACGTACGTAATAATTTAAGCATTTTTTCTTTAATTAAAAGGAGAACGGAATAAGTTGCCTGTCCATTTGATTATTTAATATCGTTGTCATGGTATGTTCGTAATCATTTCACTTTTTCACCAAAACTTATTGCAGTTTATGCATTTATATAACTTAATAACTTTAATTTTGAATTCTATGGTTAGTATTCTTTAAGAGATTGTCTCATCTAAAACTAATTTTAGAAGCTCTCTTAATTATGTGCTATTTTTATGCTTTGATATTAAAGCACTAAAGGGCAAGGCTAGAAGAAAACTTTTAGTTCTGTAGGAGTGGTGCCAGTTGGCTACAATCTGTTTTACAAAAAAATAGAGGAATGCTGACAAATCAACTTTTCATTAATTTTGTGCTCTTCATCGTGATGACTGTGTAAAACAATATTCAACTATTCAAGAATATTAGCTGGAATTTAGTTGAAAATGGAGTGCCATAGTGCTGAAAATATTTCTGAGGAAGTAAACAAATGTATTACTTTGTTAAAAATGGTCAATGGAGATTCTGAAAAATTTGCAGCTTTATTTATGGTTACAAAATTAGTAAATGCAAAAAATTGTTCATCAGCTGCCAAAAAATTACTTTTTGAAGCAATTGGTGCAAAGTTTATCAGAAAGTTATTAATCAGCAATAATGTGCCTGTTGATTGTCCAGCAGAAGTATATAAATCTGTAGCCTTATCTATTCTTTCTGCATTTTGTAGAGATTCAGTATTGGCTTCTCATCCTGATATGATTGGACATACCCCTGCACTTTTAGAAATAGTTGAAAACGCAGATGAAGATGCCCCTGACGATACATTAATAATTGTAAGTGAAGCATACAGTTGTCTACAAAATATTGCTAAGTTTTATCCTGGACAAAAAGTATTAATTGAACAAAAAGCTATTCCAAAAATGTGTGAAATATATGCAGAGAAGAGTTTCAAGACAGATGAAGCTCTAAACATCTTAGTAACTCTAGTTAATGAGTTTGGACCTAAAGTTTGGGATGCAAATAATACAGTGCCATTTCATGCAATTATTAATAAGATTGCTTTAGATTTTGAAACTGATTATGATGAAAGAAAATTTAAACTTTGCTCTATATTGCAGGCTCTGCTTGCTTCTTGTAGACAAGATACCATTACTGAAAGTGCTAAAAATGAATCTTGGCCTCAAAGCATATATAAAGGATTAAATGATATCCTTACATCAAAAATTGGAAAGGTTCAAAGAGATCCAGCATTAAAACTTTCATCTATAATGTTGGAGTTATTAGGTGTTGACTGGGCTTTATCTGATGAAGAAAAACCTAAAACCTTCTTTCTTTTGTTAATTCAGCTAGCATCGATCGAAGTTAAAATGCAGATAGAAGGAAAACAAATAAAGACTGTAATAGTTTCTGCTGATCTTATTGTAGCATGTTTTATGATTTTAGAAATATCTTTATCTTATATTATAACTGACCAATTAGATTTGGAACAAAAGGAAAAACAATCTTTATATACAGCATTAAAAGGAGCATTTGCAGCTGTGCTTGGACTTCTTACATCATTATCAAAAATGAAGGAATTAACAGACATAAAAGAACGTATATTTGTCTGTGCTATGGTAAGAGTTTTAGCTGCTTGGTTAACTCAAGAAACATCTGCATTGCGCTGTCAAGTTCATGCTATTCTACCCTTTGTTTTAACCATTGCTAATGATACCTTTTATAAACATCGTAATAAAAAAATTGCCAAAAAAGCTATATCAAAAACATCAGAAATAATTTCTGAAGAATCTGAAAAATGTGATCCATTAAGTGATATTGATGTGTTGAGATTACTATTACCAGCTTTGTGTCATCTTGCTATTGAAGAAGATGCTAGAAAAATATTATTAAAACATAAACAAGATGAAGTATTATTTGAATGTTTGTCTTATCATTGGTCCATTGTTCATTATAAAAAACCACCTGTACCAAAAGCTGAACGACTTAAAGCTCTTAAAGAACCTATAAAAGAATTAGAACCATATATTTTAGAAGAAATGAAGGATTCGAGAAGTGCTATGGTTTCAATTTGTAATATTCTAATGAATATAACCGTTTTGGAAGCAAAGTTAGTTGAAGAATCCACAACATTTATTAATTTGCTTAAATTCATCTTTGACAGTTTACCAGAACTTAAACAAAGATCAGAAAACTTAGTTCTTCATGGTAACTTAGCTATTCTTGGACTTTTATTAATGAAACAACAAGCTAAACGTATAAAGAAAAATGATTTTTCAATATGCCGTTACATTCAAGCCACTATTCGATTTTTATGGGATGCTTACATGGTGGATGAAAGCAATGATCCAACAGCATTAGTAGTAAATATATTGTATAAGGAACATTGGATGGAAATTATGGAATTATGGTTCTTAGGAATGCAAACAATGGCTGGTGTATTGCAAATGGTTCCTTGGCTCTCAGAATTTGCAATTGAATCAGGTTGGACAGAAGGAATCATAGATAGTTTAAAGAAAGTTAAGATTGGAGGACTACAGCCGAATGTTAAATCAGCATTTGAAGATTTATTATGTCATTTAGTTAAAGCTGATACAAGTGTTGCATCTGTATTAAAGAAAGCAGGTGCTTTGACCGTTTGCAGAAATCATCGTATGATGGAACTTGGAAAACATTTGTTTGGCGATTAAATATATATTACTTTATAATATCTTGTACAGATAACTGCTATTTATTGTATCCAAATGTTTTGTCATTTAATTAAACTGTGAAGAGTGTGCATATATTATTACTAAAATAAATTTGATATTGTCAAATACTGTATTAAATATGAACATTATATATTGTATAAAAAATTATCAAAATTAATTTGTGCTTGCGAATTTTTATATTATTCCACCAAAAATAACAGTTTAAAAAACATATTTTTTCATAAAAAAGAGATATTTTCTTTATAGATAGATTTTATATTTATAAAAAAATTTCACATCTCGCTATATATGATGTTGATTTCAATTTTGTATAAAATGGGATTGATAACAGTAATGCTTATAGAGTTTGTGATTCTGATATATATATATATATATATATATATATAGAGGGAGAGAGAGAAATAAAGAACGTCATATCTGAGAATAGCATGCTGGCATATAACAAATCTATGCTTTTTCAGAGTTTGGCTTTTAACGTTTTTTATTATGTATAAAATGAGTATAAAACCTTTGGTATTTATAATTAAAAATATAAAGTGCCTTTAGTATATTTTTTTTATATTAGAATATTCCTTAATAAATATAGAACAATTAATATCAAAATTATTTAAAATAGAATTGTAAATGTTATATTAATAACAATATATATTCATGTTTATTTGTTAAACATTTGTATTAAAAGAAATTTTTAATTAAATGTATTAATTTCATAAAATTGCATTTGATCAATTATTTACCTGTCCTAAATATCATAAGTAATTTCTCAATTTCAGATCATATAGTTTGAGCGCGAATCAATAGTCTTTTAAGAGATCTTCTTTATACATTTTATAATGTTTCTGAAGACCTCTTCTTGAGCCTCTTGCTTATTTTAATCACAGAGAACAGCATCTTCAAGAAAATCTTCACACGCTAATTGTAAAGAATTTTAAATTATCCAATAAGTCTGTTGTTGGCACAACTGATTTTGTTGTGATTACAGCAGTGTCCATGGATGCCACTTCAAGAGTCCAATTAGTCAGCTTGAGTATTTGAATGAATCAATGCATTTTATAGGTAATCATTAATAAGAATTAAGAGTCCTCATTGACCGCTCAAATTCCTTAATCCCAAAATTTTGTTTATTTTTCAGAGATCACATTCAATAATATTCAATTCATTTCTTAAAGTAAAAACTGTACTTAATAAAGAAATTAAATATTTTGAGTTTTATTGAATGTGATAAAACATTTTCTGTCTTTACATATTCTGTCTCAAACAATATTAAAATTAATCATGGGCCATTTTCCTAAATTGCTCTACCAATTGAGTTAAAAGAATTAAAATCAATGATGACTTTTCCTGATTACCAACAGCTTGCAGAGGAACTTACTAAGGAGTATGGATTACCACAAGATTGTTCCAACAAGATCGTCTCATCCTATCTTAAGCAGTTCAGAAAGTGTCCTGACAACGTTGCATTTAGCCTAGATACTTGGAGATCTTCACTGTGGAACAAAGCACTTGGTGAAAAATATTGCTATCTTGTCAAAGAAACTTACGAAAGATGGCTGTCTTTACGGTACTATTACTTGGCACTCAGACCCGACACAGTTACTATGCTACATCAGTTAAGGAAGAAATATCTCTTGGGTTTAATTACAAATGGGCCATCAAATGCTCAATGGGAAAAAATTCGTAAACTCCATTTGCAACAATATTTCGACGTCATTTTAGTATCTGGTGATGTACCATGGGAAAAACCAGAAGCTAGAATTTTTGAAGAAGCCTGTCGATATCTCCAAGTTAACCCAGAAAATTGTATAATGGTGGGGGATAAGTTAGAGACTGACATTCTAGGTGAGATTCACGAAAATTGAAATTTGAAAAAATAATAATCTTATGTTTACAGAATCCGTATTAATGGATTAAGAAAATAATTTGCAGTAATATATTGAACAATACTATAGTAGTATGTAAATACTTGTATAAGTTTTTTATATATTGGTAAAATTCATAACATAAAAAAATTAAATAAAAATAAAAAATTCGTTAATTTATTATACATTATTAAAATCAATAATATCATAATTTTATAATGTCTTAGGTGGTATTGAAGCTGGGTTTGCAGGAACTGTTTGGGTACCATTTGGTGACAATTGTCTTGTCACTAATGGGCCAAAACCAAACCATATAATAAAGCAAGTTACTGATTTAGTAAAAGTCTTAAGCCATGGACCAGATGCACATGAATACGAAGATTCCTCATCTAATGCTTCAGATGGCATGTAAGAAGATCGTAAATGACATTATAGATAAGCGATTAAAATCAAAGAAATGGGTTTCACTGATATTTAATACAGTCAAATATTAAACAAATTTTTGAAAAGAAAAGTAGGAAAAAGAATCACTGATAAAACTATTTTTTTACTATTGATAATAGGTTGTATCATACCTGTATTCACATTTTCAGATTTTCTCAAATTTGAGTATTCCTTTATTTTTTATTTTTTAATATTACTATGATATTATGTTACGTATTTTCGTAACGTATATATGACACTGCATTTTTGTGATTTCTTTAGTTTATAATTATTTTCTTATATAATGTAAAAATATTTCCTCTTCCACATCTAGTATTGGATTTTTTAGTATTGAAGCATATTTACATAAAAAACTAGATTCTATATTGCTGTTGATGCTGGAAGATTTAGTTGTCTTATATATTAAGATTCAACCAGGAAGTTAAATGTGGATGCACTCTAGTGAGTTAAATGTCAATTTTCATGGTACAAGAATTTAAGCAGCCTTAAAAATTAGCAAGTAAGCTCTATAATAGTGATTTTTCAAATAAATTTGTGGATAAATCATATCTTCATTAATGTGCATGTATATTAAAAAAAAACATGTAATAAATGTACAAAATAAAGTGCATATATGTATGCATAGGAAAATACTAAAATGAACAAATACTAGTATAATATCTTTTCAAGTCTCATTCTGTTTATCACTTGATGTAAAATATATTAAAAACAAATAATACATAACTAAGTATTTGAATTATTTGGTGATTCTGTACACATATGTACAATAGGAAGAGCTCAAACATTAAAATAGTCTACTTTATAATATGTATATTAAAGTATATTTTTTCACTGTACATTTTATTGTTGAGCATATGTATCAAATCATTAATCTACAATAGTACTGTAACATATACAAGTATATAAAAAGTTCTGTCTTTTTGATTGAAATAAAACATTATTAAGAAATAAGTTTTAATTATTTTTTAGTGTATAAATTATTCATTCCAAAAAATATTATAATATACAAAATAAAAATATTTTTAGTTTCTTTATATAACAATTAATGATCGAGTATATTAATTTATCTTTTATTTATTTTTAAATAGATTTATATAATTAATATAACTTATTTTAAAAAAATAGTTTATATTTATTATAAAATTTTAATCCAATTTGATAATAATTAATTTAAAAAACGTGATGCTAAAAATTTGTATTTGAAATTTATTATTTAAAAATATGCAAACTAAAAATATTCTAATTTTCACTAATTACAGTATACAATTTTAAATATTTAAATGACTAAAAATATAGAAAGAAAAGGAAAAAATGAATTATTAAATCCATTTAAAAATTTTTAATGATTTAAAAATTACTAAAATCAATAACGTTCTCTAAACAATGTATAGCTACAAAATAGTTTCATAAACTATTAGAAGTATTACTGCTTTCAACTTTATTTAAACAGTTTGTTGGCTTCGGGAAATTTTTGCAATTCATTTGAACGAATTTGCAACTATCAGCGCAAATTTTATCTACCGTTGGTACTCGACACTTTGTATTGCAATAGTATGTTGGGCTTATATTAAAATCGTTGGAAAATTCAGTCATCCTTTCATTCCATGTACCTATAGCTTTGAATCCACTTATACCCCAACTCGTACGCTTTTTAATTGTTCTATCGACTGCACCGGTTTTTGTTGGAATTGATTCTGGCCGTGTCGTACACGAGATTACTTTAGTCCCCGAAAGGATTGATATAGACGACGAATCGGAACTACTTTTGAGTTTCCAAGTCGCCTTATTATCAGTTAGACCAAGATTGTCAACGTAATCCTTAATTGAGAAATACCGTTGTTTGTTCACCTTTGAACGGAGTTTAATAACATACGAGTAGTCTATTAAAAAACAATGCGTAACGCTAAGTAAACTTTCACACCTTGTCTTTAGATACTGATAACGGTAATTTTACATTGGTTATAAAATTAATATCGATGTTGCTGTTCGATTCCGAAGCATTCGAAAAGTTGTCTGAATATTTCAGACTTTCGTGCGACATTTCACTCACTATAGAAGTGCTGTCATCTTTATTTTCATCTTCGTTAAACGACTTATCTTCCTTTTGAGTAGTCGACGACATCTTTGATTTTTCTGACAAATTGGAAATATTGGATTCGATTTCCTCTTCAACCCCTTCGTTTTCTTCTACTAATGCAATTTGATAAAAATCGCCATTATCAACTGTGCTAGAATTTTTATTTTTGTCTATATAAATGAAAAAGCATATATTTTAATATAATATATATTACCAAGATAAATAAAATAAATTTTAAGCCTAAACTTGTTTTGATTTCGATATGTTAAATATATTTTATAATTAAATATTAATTTTTTTCTAATAAATTATCATATTTTTAAAATACTTCTTAAGAAAAATTAATTAATAACAAAAAATTTTAAATATATGAATTTATCTTTAACTAATATTAAATGTAAATAAATAATATAATTGTATAAATTGCACTATTCAAAATTTCATTCATTTTATCATTATTTTAAATTTTATTCGATTTCCTTTTATAAACCTATTTTGATTTCAAATGCGACAATAACAAAATGAATCAAAATTATTCCATGAAAATTTTAATAAATTTGACTATGATTATTATAATATTATTTTAAATCATAAGTTATAAATATTTCACTAAAAAATATATTCAAAATAGTTTTTGTAAAACTTCTTTAATTAAAACGAATATCATTTATGAAAAACAATATTAATTCAAATTCTATAAAGTACACTTATATTTTTTATAATCATTATATATATATATATATATATATATATATAAATTAATAGCCTCAAAATAAAATAAATAAATTTAAAATCAATGCAATGTTATTTAAAAATTAAATTATAGACATAATTTTAATATGATTAACTTAAAATGATAAAAAAAACTTACTAATTTTGTATATAAAATATTCTGTTATAAATATAAATAAAGTGATTAATAATGTCGAAATTATTAATATATAAAATAGGAATTGCTTTTAAACTATTGAATTTATACATAAAATATATTATCAAAATTAATTACAAAATTTTGGTAGAATCATTAAATAAATAAAAATACCTGTAGAATTATCATCTAAACACTGTAGATTTTCTGAAACATTATTCCTTTGGTGATATTCTATTTTACTAGATCTTGATTTTAATAATTCACTCCTTTTATTCATAATTTTTTTATCAATAATGTTAAATTTCTTGTTGAAGGAATTTATTTTCTGAATAGGAATTTTGAAGAAGCTTGGTTGTATTTCCTTTTCATTATAATCTATGCGTTTTCTACAAAGTCATAAGAATAAAATGTTTCAGAATCGCATATGATTGTCATAAATAAATAATATTATAAAACAGAAATTAAACCTACATTAATTTACAGTCACATTCATCATTTTTCAATTGTTCAAATGTTTCTGAAATTTCATCCCTTTTATTATTTATATAATCGTTTTTATAATACATTGTTTGTGTAGATATTTCATCCAAATATGTTTTATTCTGATTTCGAAGAATTCCTTGTAATCTTTCTTTTATATAAGCATTATCCAATGATATCGTACTGATACCTCTATCTATTTGCTTTAAACGATGGGTGTATGAAACTTCTTTTCCAACTTGTACCTAAAATGATGTTTATTGTTAATTTGTTGGTATATTAGTCTTATATTATATATTATTTTTTTAAATAGATTTCCTGACAGCTTCACAAAGAGACATATCCTTGCTCCTTTGAAAAAGATGTCTATAAATACGCTGTATTTGTTCAGGATCCACATGATTATCCATCAAAGTGGAAAGAACGTCCCGTTCAGTAACCATGAACTCTGGATTAGCATCGATCAGGACAACACTTTTTCTACCCAATGAGGAATTCGGTTTGTGAATTTTATTTTTCTGTTCTTTAAATGATTGTAATTTTTCAAGAATTTTATTTTCGTTAAGAATTTTTGGTGGTGTTGGAGGCTTGGGTATTTGTAATTTAGAGAATTTTTCAGCAAAGACGAGATCAGCTTCTATTTCGTCCTCTTCGGAATCGTCCATTATATTTAGAGAAATTTTCAATTGATAAATTTCATAGAGCATTTTTCGCTAATAATAAAATAAAAATGAATCATTTCTTAGTAGATTAAATATACTTTATAAATTACATAATACAAAGATACAGATTATTTAATACTAACAGAAATGTTTCTAAATAAATTATAAAAGAATTATACTAATGACAAGCAATTTTGAACTTTCTTCTTCGTATTAAGATATACAATATGTATGTCAAAAACGATGAAATACTATTTGGAAATTCTATTCTTTTATTAAGTATATTTAATATATTAATTACCTTTGCTTTTATGTGAATAAAATCTTACGACAAATTATATTTACAGAGTTTTATATTTAATAAAAAATAATCAAAGTTAGAATTATATTACTGGCAAAAAAGTTAACAATATGTTTTCAAGCGATTAATTTATTCAAATATTTATAAAACTATATGCTTTTGAATGATTAATTTATTTATATGTAAATACGAGTCAAATTTTTATATGAATATAAAAGTTTATCGCTATTAGCATTATTTATATTTAAATAAATTTAAGAAAATTGAAAAAACCTTTACGATTTAAAAATCGTAATTACTTTTACTGATAAAAAAACTAAAACAAAAAATAAGAAGAAATATTTATTTTTATACATGAATTATATATTTGTTTGTATTTTTTACAGAATATAAATTTATATATTTGCTTTCAAAATTATATTTAATCAAATTATTTTAAAAACATAATTAAATTTAGATGTTTACTAAATATAATAATAATAATAATAAATACCATAATAATATAAAATAAAAAATACAGCAAACTTTCTATAATTATTTGTATTATAATTGCTAGCATGAATTTAAAGCATATAGATAAAAGCAATAAATAAGATCCACATACAAAATAATGAACAGCAATGTAATGTCATGCACCTTATTCAAATATCTGGAACTTCTTTCTAGATGTTTCTCAAAAACTTCTTTTAATTCTTTATCTGTATAAAGACCATTGCGGACGATGTCTTGAGTAATATCATAAACGAACTTGGCGTAACGTGCCTCCTCTTCGCCCCGCTGAACGTACTTTCCAAAACTTTTGTCGTCCCATCTATTTTCATACTCATTGGTTCTTTTCTTTTCATGCCTTGGAGGATAGAATGAATCATTGCCAGAGCGTGCCGAGCACATACACTTTCCCTCATTTCTAAAACGTGTAACTGTTCAAATTTTTACAAGTCACAGTAACATGGAAATAAAATTTTCTGGTTTGTGCTTTGATCTGCAATGTTTATTTCATATAGATAAAAAATTTCGACTTTGATAATTCAAATACTTTTATTCTTGGATAACTGATGAGAATTGTCAAGCTTTCCCTCTCATGTAAAAAATATGACTGTCTGGTTTTTTAAATTACTATACCTTATTCTACATATAAATTATCTTATACATTATATTTATGTAATAATTGAAAAATAGTTATTCGCTTTCAACCTTATAAAATTTTTCATAGAGTAGTATAGCCTTCACGTTTTCAGTGAATTAAAATAAATTTTACTCACTTAATCTATATAATTCTTTTAATAATATTAAATTATAATATTTACTAATAATATTAAAGGAATTTATAAACACAAATTAAAAATCATTTATATATTAACATATTGTTGAATGCAATTTTAATTTATTGTATTTGATGCACAGTAGAATATTTTCATAATTGTAAATTTGAAGTAAATTTATAAAAATATCCATTTTAATTTATACCTATTTTTATTTTATTTTATTTTACTTGAAATAGTATATAATAATAAATTTTCATCAAATCTTTAAAGAAAATGATTTACCACAATTTTATGTAATGAACAATATAAACTTTTTAACGTATTTTCTAGAAACATTTTTGAAAATTTGAATCATATATAAAAAAATAATGAAAATAAATTGCATTTTCTGTTTTTTTTTATTTTTTTTAATAAATATCTTATTTAATTTAATAAATTTAATAAATAAAATCTTATTTTCATTTTTTTAATTGTAGTTTTGTTAAAAGATCATTTATAATGACATAAATGTTGGAATGCGAAGTTTTTTTAATAACCAATCATAAATAAAAATAACCAAATAATATAGTACTTTTAATAACCACATTCAAAGTTTTAATTTTTAATCTCAACAACAATTTTAAATGTAAAAATATTAAAAAACTGTGAATGTGTATTATTCACGTAAAAAATGTTCAAATAATTATTTATGCTAACAAGTTGTTGAGAACGTTTTTAAAAAATACTATCTTTTATTATATTTAAAAACATTTTTAATAATCTTTTTATTAAATTTTTATTAAATTTTTTATTAAATATTAATTTTCAGTAAAAAAAATATTCGTTCCATATGTATGTATTTTTGTATTTTATTTAAATTTATCGTAATTGCAATAATCAAGTTAAATTCGTGATTGTAGTTTCGATAATTATTAGTATATTTAAGTTTAATTGCTTAATATAAACAATTACAATATTTAAATATCTATTATTACCGTTGTCTATTGCTGCGATACGCAGAAGATTCATACTTTGATTTAGAAAATTTCCATCTTTTCGAAGCAATATCTTTTATATCTTGATCCATATAATTTTGGTAGTCTTCTGATTTTTTATGCATGTATTTTGATTTAGCAATGTTTAATTGTAAACAAGGGCAATTCCTATCATTAATATACGTTCGTTCTTTAGAAGACATTTTCCTATGTGGGTGTACTTTAATTATTTCCTAAAAGAATAATTTCCTATGATTTAAATGTTTCATTTATTTGCCAATTCATATTTAAATGCGTAATAATAAGTTCATATCTCCATTGTTACAACATTTTCGAAATTAACATTATACAATATAGGTCAACCTATAATGTAGGGCAATAAATATACAATGATTACTTATAATAGATTTTAAAAATCACCAATTCATGATTTTTGTTTTATTATTTTTATTTAAATAAATAAAATACATTTGATAAATCTTAAATAAAATGTTATTACTGTACTTATTTAATTTATATTATTTATTGTACACAAAGCATTTTGTGTTTGTATTGTACACAAATAATTTTGAAAAAATTTTGACGTATGAAAATCAATTTATAAGAAAGTAAATGTAAAATTTATAGTCTATAAGAATATCTAATAAAATGAAGAAATTTATGTGTCTGGTGATAAATAATAAATAATAAATTAAAAAAGAAAACAAAATAACTTGTATTTATATAAACACTTTAAAAATTAATTTTATAAAAATGTTGCGACCTTATTATATGTAATTTAAAATTAATAATTTACAAAAAAAAGTTATCACTTATTAAATTTTCAAAATGTAGAAAATTTGAAAATAAATATAAAATACATCATAAAATCACAATAAAAAAATTAGATTTTTAAGAGTGTAATCATAACATACATAGACTGTATTTTCATTCAATATTGCGAAATAATTAAATTATATTTTATGAAAATTATATACGTATAAAATAAAAATAAAAACAATATTCAGATTTTATTTAATTAGTAAATAATTATTAGTATTATTCTGGTATTGAAAAGATAATGAACATTTCAATAATTTATATTAAAAATTCTAATCTTTAATATTATCATACAATATAAGTATTCCAAATTTTATTGTTCCTTTTTTATATATACAAAGAAGTATTTTTCAAAGCAATCATAAACATCTTTGTTTGTACACATGTATTATCTCAGTATTATTCTAATTAAATATTAGAAAGAAAATTATTGTTTATATTAATAATACATTACAAAAATTCTGTACTATTATATTAAATAAATTATAAAATTTAAAAACTGTATATATTTTTAATTACCATTCAACAAAATACAATGAAGCTGTGTTTAAAAAAAATAAAATTCAGTCTATTACATTCTCTTTGCAAGAATATATTGCAAAAATATTATGTAAATTTATTCTCTAGTAGAGTATAGTAAAAATCTTACAGACGGGCGGTGCTCAGTGTTATACGTCAATTTTTCAATGATTTCATTGGAGGGACATTCTTCTAAAAATTTGGACTTATAGCTTGACGGTTTGTGTCGATTGTGCATCGCATTTATGTACTTTGGATTTCTAGAGTCAACAACACTTTTTGCTAGAAGCACACGACGCAAATGGGTACACATAGATCGGTGTAAAGAAAGTTGATCCACATAACTTTGACCAGTTTGGTTATAAGCTATTTGCTCACATAAGATATTAATTAACAATTAATATGATACATTTATGTTGGAAATCATTAATTTGTTTTCTTTTTAATAAAATTCACAGGAAAATGATATATAAATTATTACTATATTTTGAAATATAAATTAGTGGTTTTGAAGTATAAATTAGTGTAAATTAGTATTAAAAAAATTTATAAATTTTATCAATTGTACAATAATTCAATTATTTTATATAGTTTAAAAACATTTCACATTCAAAATTTTGCATGATTCATATAATCTTTTATAGGAGAAATATATTTACTTTAAATTGTTCATAAAAATTAAAAATATATTCTTATAAAAAAGTAATAGCATAAAGAAAAACTATTTAAAGTGTACGTTTATATCAAGTTTGCATAATTAAACTCTAACTCAATAAATGTAGGTCAATGTATTTTTTCAAAATATATTATTTAATAAAATCAATTTTTAATTTTTTTTTAAATACTTTAGTGTATAATAAATTAAACTTGAAATATTATGACACGAACAATAATAAAAATTTTTTTAATGTTATTAAAAATTACATAACCTCGTGTATAGAACAATACTTCATGTACATCATTAATGATTATCACCTGAACTCTTTAAATTAATATCATCCCGACAGCATCGTGTCATAATTTAAAGATTTCTTACACCAATCTTATTAAGAACTTTATATGTATTTACACTTTAAAATAAAAGCTTTAAGAGAAAATTTTGATGCACCACATAAACGCAGTTTTAATAGGAAAAAGAAATTAATTTATCGTGCACTATGCTTTTTGTTTGGCAAACGTTACTTAGCAATAGAGATATGTGATTGTTATTTCCAGCTGGTAAGATTCAGTTTTAATATCTATGTGATTATATTTGTGATAAATATAAAACGAAATTATTATAATTATAACTTCTATTATAATTATAAATTATAAAAAAAAACAATATATAATTATAAAACAAGCTGAGTTATCAAATTTTTATATAAATAAAATCTCAAACTTACTAGGATAAATACAATTTTATACTTTAAGTTTTATGTACTAATCAGGATGATAAATAAAAACTAAATATTGTACTCTGTATATATATTAAACTGCGAAGGAATTAAAATAAAAGTTATGGAAAATAAATAAATACTCTTATAATACTTATTTTTAAGTATTTATTATGTAAAGGCATTAGTTAAATAAATAAATAAATAAATAAATAAATATATATATATATATATATATATATATATATATATAATCTACGATTTAATTTTGAATAAATCTGTATGCACGCTTATATTTTGTACGATTGGCGTCGTACGTTTAATTTGTGCACAAATTATTTCTGTAAAGTTAAGAAACAACACATTAATTAATTGTCCATCAGCGACTATAGACACTGTTGGCTTTCTTTCTAACCGTGCGAATTATAAATTGAGGATTGATTTATGAGACAGTAAGACAGGAAATATTTTGAATTTCATTTTAAATTTTTACTACATACTTATTATGAAATTTTATTATAATAACTGTACACAAGACTTCATAAAGTTTATATTACTAAACAATAAAATCTAAGAAACGATTGCTTAAACCCCATTTAATAACTTTTTATTTTAAACAGATGAACATATTAAAAAAACAAGTGTATGTCTATATAAAACTCATGGAACACAATATTTTGTATATTTACGTAATGTCAGTCTAAGTTATTGCTATTTACGATAATTTATAATATTAGTTTTACTTTATACCTGAGCTTTTTATATCAATATCTTTTACACGTAAGAAGCAATCTTATAAATAATTAATAATACTATTTTAAAAACTTAATATTAAATCCAATATTGTTCATAACATAATTGTTTGAATATGCAATAATTCATAACAAGAAAATAAATTATTACGAATGTAATTAATCAAGTATTGTATATGAAAAGTCCAGTGTTTCTTAAGTTGCCAAGTATACTGTATATAGTGTAATTAATATAATATATACATTTTCAGTTAAGAAAAATGCCTTAAATGATATTTGCATGCTTTTGTGTATATCGAGGGTATCTGATCATTCTAAATTATATTCCTCTCGTCTTTGTTTTATTATTTTCATTTATATGTGTACATCGAAAATATCATTACTTTGTCTTCAAAACAATTTTCTTTGATTATGTATTTATATTAAGATATATATGTGCTCGCATGCATGTACTTATATCTGTTTATTGAATACATTTGCACATAAATATGTTCATATGCGTATTCATACATGTATATGTATGTGTTTTCTGTATGAGTAATGTTTTTATCATTAATAATATTAAGTGAGTGTATTGTGATCGAATTTTAAAAATAATATTAAAATATTACAATATTTGAATCGTCGAAGTATTAAGCAATATTGTAATTTTCAAAACTACGGTACTTATAAAAGTATAATAAAAATATTTTAATTGAAAATCGTAATTTTCATTTAATTTCATATTTATTAAAATAAATAAAAAATAGATTCTCTTGAAATTTAATGCCAAATTTAATGATTTAAAATTTCAACACTATATTACATTAAAAATGTATCATGTGTTACACAAGGGAAAACTATCTTATGAAATTGTATAAATAAAATGAACGTTAATAAATATGAAATTAATTTATAAATTAGAATTTGATATATTTATCATTATTTGCGTATTAATATGGAAATGGTACAATTATATACAATTCAGTACACAAATTTTTTTTTAATTGATAGATGCGAACTATTTACTTATTCTTTATTATGATGAAATTTTACTTTAAATGCTCAATAAAAATCATTTAAAAAGTACTTATTTATACAAACAGAGATGTTTCCAAATGTTCATTACAAAAAAAAATTACACAAAATCTTGACATAATCTCATAAAATTCGACTATGCTCAGCCAATGATCTCAGATGTTCTAGTGATAAATTGGTGACTCATAACCGCTTCCTTTTCCTTATCTTTGTTTTCCATACCTGAAATAATATAGACTGATTGCTTTTTGTAAGCCAGCAAGTGATAATCTACGGATATCGTATCTGTAAAATTTTTCATCTTCATCTGAAAAAAAAGATCAAAATGACTTTATTATCAATATAATAAATATTTTATTTACAAACATATAATATATTTTTTGTTTACTGTATTTTGAAGATTTATAATATTCAAAAGTAGTTTAAAATAAATATACTTCTTGGTAGATTTATTATAAACATGTTGTTGTATTGTAAATAAAATTTATTCATCCATATAATTAAAATTAAATTTGTTTTAAACAGGTTTTAAATAAAATTATAAATTTTTCATTCAATTTTCGTTAAATTAATAAGAATTAGTATTTTACATCGTAACATTACATAATATTTCTTTGACTGAAATAGATGATACGTAAAGTAAATGTTGTTCGAATAACAGCTTTTTACAAATAACATGAATCTTAAAATAATTAATTTATAAATTTCACTAAAAAAATATGAAAGAATATTTCTGTCGATATCAATTATAATATCATCAATGGAAAGTTTCTAATAACAAATAAGGACTATTAATTATCGTTTATATATAACCAATAAAAAATGAAACTTTTCGTAATAAAATAATACTGTATAAACTAAATATAAAACAATTCAAATAAAATATTAAATATTTCATTAATTCTATACCTTCTTACGATAAAGAACCAGCAGAATGACTAGACTACTGATAATGAAAGCACTTGCAGCAGCCAAAATAAGAATCGCCGATTGAAATATCGGAGTTTTAAGCTCCGTATATATCTCGCGCTGCTCTAAAGCAATAATCCGATTATGAACAGTGCTGGAAGTGATGCGATGTATAAAACGTGATGTTGCCGCATCAGCCAAGTAGCCAAGAATGTTCAACTTCTGCATGCGAGATAATTCTTCTAAGTGGAAAGCAACGTCCACTTTATTGGGACCCACAATCTCAAATGACAAAACTATTGACTCCTGACTAATATCTACTTGAACGCCATCCTTGAGATGTGTGCGCATATCTTCAAGAAAGTCTATAACTACTTTTACGAATAGAGGCTTATCCATATTTGATAGGAAACCACCTTGGAAGTGTAGTGTTACTTCAACAGCCTCAACCGGCGTTGCTACTATAATTAAATATTTGAAAATTCCTAGTTATTATTTAAATAATTAATTGAAAATTCAGTATCTTAAAAATATTATTGTTAATATTACTATTAATATTAAAAAATACTATTAATATTTAAAAAATCAGTACTGTTTAAATCTATTGTTGCATTATTCTCGCGATATTTTGTACAAAATAAACAAAATAAATAGTACTAATGAAATAATACTATAATTTTAATTTAACCAGATATAATTATTTGAATTTAAATAGCGAATCGTACAAAATATTATCTTTAATATTGTTTTTTGTTTTGATTAATATTTTAGGTTGAAATCCGTCATAATAAAGTCATTTGAACAAGAAACTAATTAAATATTTTTCTCAAAAAGAAAATGAGTATCCGAGAAAGATAAATAAAAACGATAACTATAACACGAAATAATGGATTATGATCTTGTAACAGTACTCACGGCAAATATTGGTCCCTTTGAGAAAAAGCTCGGAACCAACGAGTTGATTGCCAGCTTCGTCCACACACCAACAGGTCTCAGCTGCACATTGCGTCGGCTCAAAATGTCCGTACTTATCACATATTGCGGGTACAAAGCTACGTTTTGTCATACTTTGGCATCTGCTACCAAATACATTATTTAGCGATTTTCCATCGGTTGAAAGTCCAGTGTAAGCACCACTCATATAAGCTTTTATTCGAGTATCAATCTCTGTAGCCGAAACCATCTCGTCTCTACCTCGACGCGCCTGCCGAAAATTACACTTGGGCTCGTTGTGACATGTAAACGAGCCTTTAATTGGCTCACCTTTCTTATTTACGCACCAGCATATCTTTAAATATTCGTGACATTGGACTGGCTCCCATGCACCCGTGTTTGGATGACATCTAAAACATCAAACGTCACTCGTCAAACTTCTTGCTCCGTTGCATACCATGAAAGGTTAAAAAATAAGGATACTAAAAATAATACTAATAATAAAAAGGATACTTAAAATACGAACAGTTTAATTAATATAATAATATTAATAATATAATTAATTAAGAATATGTTGTTGAATTGAAGAGTTCATATTTGAAGTACGTATAACATTTTAGAAAAATTTAATTTACGATTAAACTTCTAATTGCTCTCAACTCCAATTTTTATGATAATTTAAATATATATAATATTTAAAATTAATATTGTTAATATAATTTTATATATTTTAATATTTATTCAAAGTTATTCAATATATATATATATAATTTATATTTCATCATATTTACAGATTATATTAAATTATAAAATTAATAAACTAATTTGTTTATATGTAATATTTATATTATGAACAGTGCTGGAAGTAATGCGATGTGTAAAAGGTGATGTTGCATCAGCCAAGTAGCCAAGAATGTTCATTAGTATTATATGTATTATAATCAAAATTAAAAATTTTCTGACTGAAAAGATTTCCTTCAAATAGAGAGAAAGAGAGAGAGAGAGAGAGTAAAAAAATAATTGAAATTAAAAGAATTTTCGTTATTTGAAGACTTATCATTCATTATAAAAATTAATAAATTTGCTATATGTTACCTAGTAATTTAATACATAATACATAGTATTATAAATAATTTTATCTTTTATTAGTTAATGCATATAAAATAAATTTAACCACTTTTATAATTTTTAAATAGTTATTTAAATGAAAAATTTAATGTTTCTGAATTAATAAAAAATGTTTAAAATATTTTTTTTTCGATTTTCATTACAAGATAGTATTTTACTCTTTACTTCAATGTTTTTTTTTTATTCTATTATAGAAGTAATTAAAATATTGTATTGTAGAAGTATGTAAATGTTGTATGAATATGAATTTTGTACTTTATTTATTTATAAGAAATTTATTATTATATAAAACCTATTGTTTATCTTATTTCTTGATCATTATTTATATGAAGTAATTGAGAAATGTATTATTAAATAACTTTAAGAGTATGACATAAATAGCACAAAATTTTCTTCTATTATCTAAGTAAAGAAATTTTATAGTAAGTAATAAGTCTATTATGAATTTTTTGAATTTGTAAAATGAATAATATAATTCGATTATGTGTAAATAATAATAAATATTTTATAGTTAATTAAATTGATTTTTCAATTTAAAAATTTCAAATTACAAATTAATAATTAAAAATGATGATGCTTTTATTAAATGTTTTCGATTTCTATTCATACATCTTGTATTGTGATATAATTAATAGAAAAATTATTAGAATAAAAAAAAAAACATTGAAGTAAAAAGTAAAATAATATCTTGTAATGAAAATCGAAAACAAAAATATTTTTAAACATTTTTTAATAATTCAAAAACATTAAATTTTACAGTAAATAATTTTACAGTAAAATTATTGACTTTAAGCAAAATAAAAATTGTAACATCCTAAGAATAGTTGTAAAAAAAAATTTAAATTAATAAAAATATAAATAATAAATTAGATTAATTATTGCTAGATCATTCTATCATTCTGTTATCTGTACATTGTCTTAATTTGATGAAAAAGCTTATTTGAATATTTTACACTATTATTTGAATGCTTATGCAAATAATTTATTTTCTCTACACAAATTTTTATGAAATCCAAAATTTACTATGTAGTAACATATATCATTACACCTTATAAATATTCATAATATCCTCTTCTTTCTCTTCTCTTTATATTCCTCTTTATCACTAAAATATTTGTCTTCCATTTTACTCTTTCTATTTTCGTCTTTTTGCCTTTATTTCCTTCTGTTATTATTCTTTTCCACACTACTTTAAATTGACGATCTACATAACTGCCATTCATTGCTTTTGTTCATATATTAAAATTCATCTTGAAAGAAACCGAATAAAACTAACCTAGGTAAAAATGAGGGTTGCTTGTACTTCTCGGTGGACTTGAGATTCCGTTCCCTCAGCTTCTCGCATTGTGATAATACACGGCAAACAGTATCACAAACGTATTTGCTAGAGAAGTCGTTGTATCCAATCCAGCAGTCTTCTTTCTTTTTACAACCGTTCAATTCTGTATCAAAATACCATCTATCGCTAGTGCTATTAAGAGAACAAGCAACTTTATGCGGCACCTCGAAGCAGACTTCTCGGGGTTTTGGACAACAAACAGCATATTCGTCCAAGGGCGAGAGCTCGCACTTATGAGTCGACGGGCAATTCTGACCATGAGGACCACAAGTCGCTGGACCGTCTTCCAAGATAAGTGGCGAGCCGTGAGGACAGGGATTGTCCTTCTTAGGTAAGCACATTGGCACCGGTGGGCAAGGTGGCACACTGCATGCAACTTCAACCATCCTTAAGACAAAATATTTATTACTCTTTATTTTTGAATTATTATTATTTTTATATTGAAAATATCGACACCCATTTGCAAAATAAAAATTACTGAATTATTAAATAATATTTTGCATAGGTTTTAAAAAGAAAAGATTATATTACTAAATAATTTTCAAACTTGTACTAATAACAATAAAAAAAATAATATTCGGAAATATAAGAAAGTATTACTTAATTAATCGGTCAAAATTGTTAAATAACCATAAATATAGTTAGTTCAGTAATTATTGAAAAGGTGCAATGTTCTAATGCTCTGATTCTACTACTTGTTATTATTATATACTAAATTCTCACCACTCCATAATCAACTTACTTTTTGATACTTATATTGCATAAACTTTCACAAAATAGAAAATATAAACAAGTAATAAATATACGAAACAATCATTTTCTAAATTATTAAATCTTTGAATATGTAACAAATTGATTTTAAATTATTTGAAAACTGTACTATTCATATTAATGAAGTAACATAATATAAAAATAATATAGATTTAATAATATTAATGAATAGACTTTTTAAACAAAACTGAATGCCATTTCAATTTATAAATTAAATTATGTATTAAAATTGTACAAACAAAATTACTACTAAATTAATTAATATTTCACAAGTATGATACATTTAAAATTATTAAATAATTTATTTAATAATTGTTATTTTTTCTTGTGTATTTATTTTAAGGTTAATTTATTTTTATTCATAACAAAAACAAATATAATTGTAAATTACTTAAATATTCTTTTATTAACTAAAATACAGCTTTATATTCATATAATTTGAATTTATGCAAACTATTCATAAAAATATGTGAAGGTTTTGTAAAAAAATTATTTAAAATAATTTCTGAATATAATTTTTATGCCTTTGAATAAGAAACCTTGTTATTATGTTATTCATTATATTTTATTTATATAAAATAAAGGAAACATTTGAAATACAAAACAAAATTTAGTTTAAAACTTTAATAAATAACAGTCAAATAACTACTGCATTTATGATGCAACTAGAGAATATTAAATATAAGGAGAAGAAAATCTGCTATTAATAGACATAATATTTTTTATTATGTTTTTAATCTTTTCTCATATTCGATCAGCTATCTAAATAAAGTAAATTAATAAAATAATACTTTGTTTGATTTGTATCACAATAAATTTATAATACGAAACTTTTTACCATTATATATTTTTATTAAATTGAAAAGATAAAATGTATATTATAAGTCAATTAAAACCTAAATAATTACAATAATTCATTTTTTATTACAATAATCGGTTCTTCCCTGCTCTTTTCTTTACCAATATTTCATTAATATATTTCAAAATACTAATTTAATTCTTAAACAATGTGGGAAATCTAAGGAATTTAACACTGTTTTCAATAACTAGAGTCAAATGTCTAAAACTACGTGGATGCGAATAATAAATTTTAACTTTATTTGCTCTTAATACATTTTTAAATCTAGTTAACGTGATATTGAAACATTATATTACAAACAAAATAATTTAGTTAGAGAGTTAGAAGCATAACGATAAAAGTCCATTATGTTACACGTACCTGCAAGCTTCATTTTCGCCACGACAGGTGATTGCCTTACAAGGATTACGACAGGCACAAGTCGGACATCCTGCATCCAGATCAAGCTCAAGCCCATCTGGACATTCTAAGTGACAGTCAACATAGGGGCATCGCTGAGGCGCCCCGCATTCTGGAGCCTGACCATGAGGCCGTCTTGTACCTGCGACCTCCCTGCCCTCCTTATCCACACACCAGCACACGAGCTCTTGACACTGGACTGGTTCGAACTGACCCGCAGTGTTACAACGTGGAATATAGCTGCGTCTCGCCGGCTCCCCAGATTCTCGGGCCCTATGTTCTGCAGCTGCCTTTGCGTGTTGACAGGCAGTTGCCATTACTGGGGAAATACATTGTGTTCCGCAGCCTGTAGATCAATATGAATCAAAGTTTATAAAAACTTAACTTGATCAATGAACAATATAGGATTAAGCTTATAATACTGAACCATTGATCAGCCGACTTTTCATTTCAAAGGAAAACACTCAATTCTCGTTTTGGAATTGCTAAGTGCCATTTGAAGCAATTTTCTGTTTTAATAAGATAATAAGATTGATTGATTTTATAATATAAATTATCGCTGGATATAAAGTATTTTTTAGTTATCCTTATATATTCCAAAATCTCACGACATTCAAAATCCCATACACCAGTTATAAATCGTATTTTGACATTTTTAAAGCAAAATTTCCATTCCGATGGATGAAATTATACTTTAAAAAATGTTATAGTGTCAAAACTTAAACGAAAATATAAGCTAAAAATAGAAATTAAAATTTTTTAATTATAGATAATTGAATGACTCGTAACATATTTTCTATAATACATTAACAAATAATACTTATAATATAAATATAATAAAATAATGATCCAATTATTAATAATTCTATTTATTTTTATATTAAATATTGGAAAACAGTTTTTTGATTACCATTATTTCAACTTTTTAAATTAACACAACTGTCTTCATACCTAAAATATGTTTGTTTTTATAAATTCAGTAAATAATAAATCACGAAATACTACTAAATACTCTTAAATACTATAAAATTAATATACTTATAAAGAAGTTTCTCTTCAAAATGATTTTAATAATTCTTGCTACCAACTATTATTCTATGCATTATATTTAGTAATCTTATTAATTAAATATAAAATGTTTTCGTATCACAATATAAAAATAATTTAAACATAAAAATTGTCAAAAAATATTAATTTATGTAACCATGTATTAAGAGTTTTCTATATAGCAATAAATTAACGCTGTATTTAATTAGTTTAATTATATTTTTCTTAATAAAGCTAAAATTATTTTTAGAATGATTTTTATAATTAAAATTATATTTTTATTTTTAAAATAGATATTTTTTGTTTGAATAGTTTTAAAAATATTTATTATTTTCTGTTACAATATTTCGAAATTCAACGATATATTCTACAAAATACTATATTTTTATATTCATAATTTTTTTAAAAATTTATCTATACATCTTTATTTAATTTTATATTTTTCATACAATTTTGTCTAATATGCATATTTAAATATATATGTTTTTTGATTATTTATTTAAGTCAATAACAATTATACATATATATATATATATATATATATATATATGTATACGTATTTATAAATTATTTGTCAACAATTTCGTCACTAAAACTGTGATAACTAATGAATAAATTAATAAAAGAAATTACAGCTCTGCTGTATTTAATAATATTAATAATACTCCTGCTTTAGTATAGATTATTTTTACTGGAATACGTTCAAGTCCTGTTACAGTGATTCGATAAATTGAATTTGAGAACATTAACATAATATAAATAACATAATATAAATGCAAAATAATTCCTTATTCGGTATTTCCAGTAAATATATTTTTTATTCCAAAATTCTTAATTTAATAAAAATAAATAATAAGAAATACAAGAAATAAACGACGAAGCAGAAAAGCTTGATTCATAATTCAATATCAGCCTGGTTACTTAAATATAAGTCTGATGGAATTGACACTCTCAATTCAAGATTAAATAATCCCAAGCTACATCAAATAGTGACCATCAAGTGAGTCAATATTTACCTGTGGAGCAGCACTTGTCGCCAGTGGGGCCTTCCTGATCATTATTGCAAAGAACTTCGCAACTGGAGGAACTAGGTATGAGGTAAGGACATTGACCGGGCCTAATGGCCAGGCAAGCTGGTACTGAAGGACAATACTGCTCTAGACCACAGTTTACATTGACAAGATTGCAGACTTCTCCAAGGTTGCATATCACATTCTGGCAAGGGTCTTGACATCGGCACTCACGGCAGCCTATCGCATCTGTTATAATTGACTTTATTTTTAGAATGTCAGTTGATAAAAAACAATCGAGTGAATGATTGTTCAAATTTTAATGGGAAATAAAAATTTGCTTTTAAAATTGATTCCGCTTGAGGTGAAATCCATCGTAAATTAATATAAATTAATAGATTTTTAAGAAATTTAATTAAAATAATCAACTAAATTAATTAATCATTTGAGATTAATTGAATTTGTTGATTTATCAAAATTATTTATTCTAAAATACTATTATCTCTATATATGAAAATAGTTTAAAATTAAAGTGTATCCATTAATTAAGTAGTTAATTTCAAATATTAAATTAATACCTAGTTGATATCCGTAATGGCAAGTGAGATTACACTTGAAGAGCTCACAATGGTTGAGGAGGTTGCGTACTGTAGTGCAATGAATTTTGCCTTTGGAGTGAACGTCAAATTTGAGAGGAACACCGTACTCATCTACACAAGTACAGTTATTGTCGTGACATTGAAGTGCCCGAAAACCGCCATTATCATCGCATTGAGGTGCAGGAATTGCCAGGTTCATACCTTTTCGAGTACCCTCCATTCTCTCACGAAAGTCTCGAAGGTATTCACACACTACAAATCGTTTAAGATGACTTATTATTTACAAATTTTAATTAATTATCTTAAAAATAACAATGTTTATTTATTATTTATTCTTATTTATTCACTTTTTTTAAATTGCTAATTAAATAATTATATTCTATATATATTACTATATTATATTACTATTACTATATATATATTACTGTATATATATTACTATATTTTTTTTATTTCTTTTATACGAATACATAAACTAATAAATTGACAAATTCATACTTATGATGTCCAAGCGATATCACAATTTGAGATTTATATATAGTAACAGACTATTGATAAAAAGAGATGTTAATAAACTCTTTATCATTATCTTGATACTTTTATAGTAATCAAATTTTAACCCCATTATACTGTTTCACTTTAAGTTATTACAAAGAATCATTTGATGTGATATCTAGGCATCATTTATCCCTCCTTCTCTCCTTTGATCATTTTATAAAATGCCCTATGCAGATTATAAACGATAAGGAAATCGTTATTTTTAAATATAAATTTTCTATTATCAATAAACAACATCAGTGATAAGTAGATTGTAATACCAAGACAATTTGTAATACCGTAGTTGTAAAGTATAAAAAAAACTATATCTAAAGTTTCACTTAATAGAGTAGTATTGGCACCGCAAATGCATGAGACATTTATCTTTCCTCCAAAGATCTTGGAATTGTTTAAAATAAAATTGTTTAATATCTGTACTCACTAGTGAACGGTTTCGAGAAAGGCGTTATGATAGAACAACAAATAGATTTATTGGCCTTAACTGCACTCGTGCATGTGTGATTTTGTGGGCAGGTCATATTGTTCGAGCAGATCACAACATTACCCTCCGAATCATTTAACGGTGAGCCGATAATACAAGGATTTTTAAGTATTTGTTTCGAGCGACATTCAGGTTTCATTGGACAGAGGAAGTCCGAGCAATTGTTCTCCAAGCGCAGTACACACTCTTCATCTGCTGGGCAAGAGTATCTATAAAGTACGATATACATCTGGATATTTAGCAATATTTTATTCAGTTAGAAAATTACTACTTATAAAGGAAAAAGTATTATTTTTATACTATTTAACGTTTACCTTAAAATCTTTGATGATTAAAATAATGCATATTCAAAATTCTATTCGTTACCAAAAATTTACTGTTGATGCCTCTTAGTATCAAACTTAAAAAATAAATCGATTAATACCATCACTAATTATTCCAAGAAAGTTTAAAATTTTCAATTTAATGATTATGTACATGATTTATAAGTTTAAGTACTATCAAAGAATTCTTATACTATTAAATAAAATATATTACGTGCAAATTTAGAATAAATATCGCATATACCATGCACAATAATTCGTTAATATAAAGACCTAATATTCCTTACGGAGGGAGATGACACTCCTCGTAGATTTTCTCAAGAAATTCTAAAAGATCAATTTCAAAGAAGAATATAAATAAAAAGCCTTCTAGCAATTCAACCTGCTAGACAAATAAAAAATTTATGTAATTTATATGTAATTTAGAAAGCTCAAGCAGCCATAAACGAATACAAGGAAATTGGATTGCTTAAGCGCGGGTCGTCCAGAACAATACCGAAATTCGGTAGGGGATACGTACCCTTGGCAGGGATCATCGCATTCACAAGTCGAGCAACCAGAAGCCTCAACTTTGAAGCCATACTGACAAACTTGAGCACATTGTTGGAACTTGCAGGACGAATTTATTGCAGACAGGGACCTTGCCTTGATTACCGTTAGTGGCTTGCAGTCCACTTTATTTGCTGGACCCATAGAATTGTTCAATTTCTTGCCTAACAGATCAACACACCAGCAAACAAGACCATTCCTAGAACACTGTCGGGACTCATACTCTCCATCTGCAACATTATTAAAAAGACTTACTTCATTCATATAATCTTATAAAATCATGTGATTTAATTTAAAAAACTTATGTATGGATCTATCTTGTAAACTTCTTTTGACATCATGTAAAACAATGTGAAAAATAAGACTATATATATATAACTAGAATTATTTTAAATAATCAAAGTAAACTAGTGAACCAAATTAAAAGTTAAACAGATTGTAAAATTTATAAATATACAACTGTTAGAGATTGCGAGAAAAAGTTATTGCCACAACTTCCCACGGTCGTTGGACACTCGAGACGGTCAATACATCTGGAAAACACCCGTGAAGTTAGCTTTTTTATTCTCACATATCTAAAAACGTGCTCATGATTTTCCGGTGCAGTTAAACGATAATATTGTTTACTGCCATGAAGACGTAGATTCTGAAAGAGTATCAGATATACGTAAAGTATCAAGTACAAACATTTCCTAAATTTTATTGCAATCCAAAACCCCGCACGTGCGACAACAAGCAATAGGCGTACGTGGGCACTCGGCTTCTTAAGACAATGATTGTTCTTAACTACGCCGCATTTTGTCGATTGCGTTAGAGAATCGACCACGCTCTAGAGGACCTTTCATCTAGCCACGTCCCAGAGCAGGGAGAAACGACCAATAATAAACCACTTATTCTTATTCACAGATAAGTCACGACTTATTCTCATGGAGGAGGACCAGAGAAAAAGTCGATCAGCTAAGTCTTGTAAACTATCTTTCTACGACTGTGATTCAATATCCAGTTAACTCTAGTCTCATCAAGCTCTGATAGCATATGTACTGAGATTCTTGTCATCTCAGCAAAGGGGACAAGAAACAACTTAAGAGCAGCACTTATTGGAAGGGAACTTCTCATCAAGCCTGTGGGGAGGAACTGGGATCATCACACTACAACTTCAAGTAAGTCCTTACCACTAGTGCTGATTTTTCACCTCGGGGTTTTCCTCTGAAAACGGACAGCAAGTAGTCCGACCACAGAAGCTTCCCGCGCATGCTCACTACGTACGACTAGCAATTCGCGCCATACAGTGGCACACATTTCCTCTAACCTCTATTTTAGGCACGTGCTCACTTATGCGGCCCATTATTCAGAGGCAACTGTAACACGTGTTATGTTACGACACAAACAAAAATTATAGTAATCGTTCAGAGCACAACAACGATCATATCCTCTCAAGCAGTAATATTCAATAGATTAAAACCTATTGTTCGGATTTAAAGGGTTAGCTTATGGCTCGAACTGCCAATTCAATAGTTCAGTGGATTAGTCTCTCGGCAGGATAATTTTTAAAGGAAATCAATAACGGACAAGGCTGAAAAATATAATATATTTATTTTAAAACAAGGTTTAATGAGTGTAAACAATTATAATAATATTGCACTGTTGTGTAGAAATAAATATTCTGTTGGATTATTCAAAAGATGTGTTCTTGTGATTTTTCTGCTATAAAGGCTTCTTTGGATATTGCTATGTTGCTTTGAGGTTATGTTGATATTATCAATGTCAGCTGATGTCAGTCAATCATGCTTGTGAGGTAGCATGAGAAGATGGTAGTTGAATCAAGTATGCTTGATTGATGAATAGCTATACTTGATGTGTTGTTAGATCTTAAATGGAATTTATTATGTAATCGATTATGTCTTTGATTATGTACAAGGGACAGCAGTAGAATCTAGTCACAGGAAAAAACAATTAGAAGTAATATTTCTAATTCGTGAAGGATTTAATAATCCGTATTTGTAGAGTCTATTAGTCGATCTGTGTTGGTCATGTGTAACCAATGTGTGTGAACCACAGTGACTCTTGCGTCAGCTGTTCAGGGCCTGCACGGCTCCGAAGTGTTCTTCGGACGAGCGCTAGTGTGCCCTGTTTGTGCTAGCGGGCCTGTAAGATGTCGAGGGATCAGTTCGAGAGAGCGTAAGTGTGCCCGATCGACAATAGCGAGAGATGTGACTTGTTTATTTATTAATACAAAGATGTACCTGGTGAACTGCAGGTTGGATGGATTCGATGCTGTGTATGTAATGTTTCCCTTGATTACAATTCCATTGGCTTCACTGTAATCACTTATTAAAGAACTGCCGATTATCTTTTCTATGCACGCGGGTACTCTTTACTATGCTGCCGAAAATGTGGCCACGCGGCGTCTTTACAGTATACTATGCACTGACCGGCAGTTACGCTTGATGGAGAGCGAAGTGAACTTTACGAGTGAGC